AACAATCCACGTCCACACTGTGTTTTCCCTAGCATTTCTGGAAAGCCCTCTGTCAACACTATACCACTGAAGACGCACATCAAGTGACCACACACACACTCTGTCATGCTCTGCAGCGTATGTGCGCGTCTGAGCTCTAGATGTCTCAGCGGGTGCATTGAGCACAAAATCCCAGAGAGCAGTGCACGTCAGACAGTTCATCAAGGATCTACTACTGGATGTCGTCTAACTAAAGCTGTTAAACGTGATATATAATTAATCTTGTGTCTATCTGTAGACTCTTCGGTCTTTTGAATCTATCAGGTAACGTGTCGCAGCATCACTAAACTGCTTCAGTCTTTCGCTTTCATGCTTGTACTTTAGTCATTTTGGCGATTTGGTTGGTTCCTGTTGGTTGTGCACCTCATTTAACAACCAAGTTTGTCGACACCATTATACCGACACAGATCAGTCTGCCTATTCATGCCAGAGTCCTGTGGAAAAAGTGATTGACAGGTGGTCATTTGTGTGTAGCTTGTGTTTATTTATTTATGATTTGTTTATGGATAAAACGAAGACCATGCGGGTCAGCTAGATGGATAAGTAGGCTACAAGTAGTTAATTCATTCATTACTTACATAAATAATTAATTTGCCGCCTATGATGACGATGCCATCATCCATCGCAGTCGTATGATACAAACTGCTCGACACCGCCCAGCCCTATTTTTAATATGTTTTTTTATTTGAATGTATTGTATAATGTCATTTAGTCCTGTTATTTTAAAGCTGAATTTTGAGCGTCATTACTCCAGTCACATGATCCATCAGAAGGCATTCTAATAGGCTGATTTGCTGCACAAATTTACTCTATTAACTATTAGAATTACCATATTTTATCCATAACTGACAGAAGAAAAAAATGTGTAGTTAATAGTTACACTGAAAAAAACAACATGCAATTAAAAAGCCATCAGCCTTTCGATTTTTTTTTTCTTTTTTTTTTTGTGACCCCTGGGGTGATTACTTTATATTAAAGACACAACACTTTGAGTTTATGGCACCAGGTTAAACTTTCTGAAACCTTTACAGCACTCGTATACAATAAAAATAAAAACATGCCACTACTGAATATGGAGGATGAGGGTGGCGGGTCATGAGCATTGTAATTTTGGGGGTCATAGGCTGAAACGTTTGGGAACCCCTGTTTTAGATGATGCTTGCTTATTAACTCTATTGAATCTCTTCTTTTTGAAATAATCAAATAAATGTAATAAAATCAGACACGCTCATCCATGATGCCATGATTCGGTAACACTTTAGTTCAGGTCACAATTCACAATATTAACAGACCATTAACTAACACTACTAGTTTACTAAACGTCTAATCAGCTGCTTGTTAATAGTTAGTACAGTAGAAGTTGTGTTTAGGTTTTTGGAAGGATTATTGATGCAGAATTAGATCCTACTTTATAAGAGCTAATAAACAGTTCATATAATTTTTATTGGCAGGTTATAAGCGAGTAATTAATATTGTGAATTATGACATAAATTACACTGTATAAAATATCCATAAATTAACAGGTTCCGGATTTTGTGGTTCACCTGGTGTTTTCTGTTCTTCTTTATCTTGTTTATCTTTGCGCTGTCAAATTTTGTTGTTGAAAATTCATCACTGCAGTTTAACAATTATTGGTGTTTTAATACACAAGATAATTTAACATGATAGTTTAAATATCTAGATGGACAAAATTTTTATGATCTAGAAATATCTAGATGTATACAAGATAGTTCATGATCTAGAAATATCTAGATGTTAGCAAGACAAGATAGTTCATGATCTAGAAATGTCTAGATGTATACAAGATAGTTCATGATCTAGAAATATCTAGATGTTAGCAAGACAAGATAGTTTATGATCTAGAAATATCTAGATGTATACAAGATAGTTCATGATCTAGAAATATCTAGATGTTAACAAGACAAGATAGTTCATGATCTAGAAATATCTAGATGTATACAAGATAGTTCATGATCTAGAAATATCTAGATGTATACAAGATAGTTCATGATCTAGAAATATCTAGATGTATACAAGACAAGATAGTTTATGATCTAGAAAAATCTAGATGTATACAAGATAGTTCATGATCTAGAAATATCTAGATGTATACAAGACAAGATAGTTCATGATCTAGAAATATCTAGATGTATACAAGACAAGCTAGTTTATGATATAGAAATATCTAGATGTTAACAAGACAAGATAGTTCATGATCTAGAAATATCTAGATGTATACAAGATAGTTCATGATCTAGAAATATCTAGATGTATACAAGATAGTTCATGATCTAGAAATATCTAGATGTATACAAGATAGTTCATGATCTAGAAATATCTAGATGTATACAAGATAGTTCATGATCTAGAAATATCTAGATGTTAGCAAGACAAGATAGTTCATGATCTAGAAATGTCTAGATGTATACAAGATAGTTCATGATCTAGAAATATCTAGATGTTAGCAAGACAAGATAGTTTATGATCTAGAAATATCTAGATGTATACAAGATAGTTCATGATCTAGAAATATCTAGATGTTAACAAGACAAGATAGTTCATGATCTAGAAATATCTAGATGTATACAAGATAGTTCATGATCTAGAAATATCTAGATGTATACAAGATAGTTCATGATCTAGAAATATCTAGATGTATACAAGACAAGATAGTTTATGATCTAGAAAAATCTAGATGTATACAAGATAGTTCATGATCTAGAAATATCTAGATGTATACAAGACAAGATAGTTCATGATCTAGAAATATCTAGATGTATACAAGACAAGCTAGTTTATGATATAGAAATATCTAGATGTTAACAAGACAAGATAGTTCATGATCTAGAAATATCTAGATGTATACAAGATAGTTCATGATCTAGAAATATCTAGATGTATACAAGATAGTTCATGATCTAGAAATATCTAGATGTATACAAGATAGTTCATGATCTAGAAATATCTAGATGTATACAAGATAGTTCATGATCTAGAAATATCTAGATGTTAGCAAGACAAGATAGTTCATGATCTAGAAATGTCTAGATGTATACAAGATAGTTCATGATCTAGAAATATCTAGATGTTAGCAAGACAAGATAGTTTATGATCTAGAAATATCTAGATGTATACAAGATAGTTCATGATCTAGAAATATCTAGATGTTAACAAGACAAGATAGTTCATGATCTAGAAATATCTAGATGTATACAAGATAGTTCATGATCTAGAAATATCTAGATGTATACAAGATAGTTCATGATCTAGAAATATCTAGATGTATACAAGACAAGATAGTTCATGATCTAGAAAAATCTAGATGTATACAAGATAGTTCATGATCTAGAAATATCTAGATGTATACAAGACAAGATAGTTCATGATCTAGAAATATCTAGATGTATACAAGACAAGATAGTTTTTGATCTAGAAATATCTAGATGTATACAAGACAAGATAGTTCATGATCTAGAAAAATCTAGATGTATACAAGATAGTTCATGATCTAGAAATATCTAGATGTATACAAGACAAGATAGTTCATGATCTAGAAATATCTAGATGTATACAAGACAAGATAGTTCATGATCTAGAAAAATCTAGATGTATACAAGATAGTTCATGATCTAGAAATATCTAGATGTATACAAGACAAGATAGTTCATGATCTAGAAATATCTAGATGTATACAAGACAAGATAGTTTTTGATCTAGAAATATCTAGATGTATACAAGACAAGCTAGTTTATGATATAGAAATATCTAGATGTTAACAAGACAAGATAGTTCATGATCTAGAAATATCTAGATGTATACAAGATAGTTCATGATCTAGAAATATCTAGATGTATACAAGATAGTTCATGATCTAGAAATATCTAGATGTATACAAGATAGTTCATGATCTAGAAATATCTAGATGTATACAAGACAAGCTAGTTTATGATCTAGAAATATCTAGATGTATACAAGATAGTTTATGATCTAGAAATATCTAGATGTATACAAGAAAAGCAAGTTTATGATTAGAAATATCTAGATGTATACAAGATAGTTCATGATCTAGAAATATCTAGATGTATACAAGATAGTTCATGATCTAGAAATATCTAGATGTATACAAGATAGTTCATGATCTAGAAATATCTAGATGTATACAAGATAGTTTATGATCTAGAAATATCTAGATGTATACAAGACAAGATAGTTTATGATCTAGAAATATCTAGATGTATACAAGATAGTTCATGATCTAGAAATATCTAGATGTATACAAGATAGTTCATGATCTAGAAATATCTAGATGTATACAAGATAGTTTATGATCTAGAAATATCTAGATGTATACAAGACAAGATAGTTTATGATCTAGAAAAATCTAGATGTATACAAGATAGTTCATGATCTAGAAATATCTAGATGTATACAAGATAGCTCATGATCTAGAAATATCTAGATGTATAAAAGACAGTTCATGATCTAGAAATATCTAGATGTATACAAGAAAAGCAAGTTTATGATTAGAAATATCTAGATGTATACAAGATAGTTCATGATCTAGAAATATCAGATGGTTGTGGTTTTGCAATAAGCTTTAATTTTTATCATATACATTTTTAATTTTATGTTTTATCTTTTCATAAACATGAATCACCTAATATGGGAAACTGTTTATTTACACATATTTTGTACAGTGTGAAGTGTTCCCTTTGTTTCTGTTGGAGTGAATTAAATCATATTAAATCATCTTGCATTAGTGTGATCACGGCACGCACGTATAAATCAGCCATAGCCCCATATCTGGGAGGGGCTTAACAATCAGCCAATCGGCAGCCTCTCTATATGCGTGTCCTTTTAATCAGCGCCGCGTGTAAACTCTGCATGCGTGTGGTGTGTGTGTGTGTGTGGGTGTGCATGCGTGTGTTTATTCTGTGATTGGTTTATAACTCGTCCTGCAGGAGGAGCTGTGCAGTGACAGTGTGGAGCGCATCGTCGTCAATCCCAACGCCGCATATGACAAGTTTAAAGACAAACACGTCAGCGCTAAAGGTTTGGGTGAGTGGGCATATGTCTACCAGCACTTCTGTTATAAGGCAGATATTTATGCTTTTATTCTCATTTCAGCATTCTGGGGAATGTACAGTTGGAGTCAGAATTATTAGCACCCGCTATATTTTTCCCCTAATCTCTGTTTAACGGAGAGCAGATGTTTTCAGCACATTTCTAATCATAATAGTTTTAATAACTCATCTCTAATAGCTGATTTATTTTATCTTTGTCATGATGACAGTAAATAATATTAGACTAGATATTCTTCAAGACTATTTTATTCAGCTTAAAGTGGCATTTAAAGGCTTCACTAGGTTAAAGTTAGGCAAGTTATTGTATAACAGTGGTTTGTTTTGTAGACAATCCAAAAGTAGTATTGCTTAAGGGGGCTAATAATATTAATCTTAAAATGGGCTTAAAGAAATTTAAAACAGCTTTTATTCTAACCGAAATAAAACAGATAAGACTTTCTCCAGAAGAAAAAAATATTATCAGACATACTGTGAAAATTTCCTGAATCTGATAAACAGCATTTGGGAAATAAATAAAAACAAACTCAAAGGAGGGTGAATAATTCTGACATCAGCTGCATGTATGTATGAAACAACACAAATAATAATAATAAAATGTTTATCAAATATTAAAAGAATTAAGAAAAATTAAACCAAATTTTATAATAAACTATAATAGCATCTCAGTGATACTTATACCAATACTGTGTGTGCTTTTGTGCAGATTTCTCAGACCGCATCAGTAAGAATCGGCGAGTGGGCTATGAGTCTGGAGACTATGAGCTGGTGAGTGAATCTCGTTTGTCATCATGATTGGTTTAGTTTGCTGTAGTTTCTCAGCATTTGTCCTGATTTATCTGCTCTGGTCCTGCAGTTAGCTGAAGGCTGCGGCGTAAAGGAAACTCCTCAGCAGAAATATCAGCGGCTGGTTAATGAGATCCACGAGCTCTGCCAGGATGTGGAGAAAATTCAGGTCAGAACTCAAACATTTAGTTCTAGTCTTCCTCCCACATTTACATTCAGTACACTAACATACAGTGTTTGAGAAAAAAAAACATTGATTTATTGAGGACTCATTAAAGGGGTAGTTGTCTATGAATAAAATGTTTAAAATTTATTATTAATTGTCCACTTATTTTAATATTCTATTTATATTCATGATTAATTTAATATTATTGTATTATAAAAAAAATTACATTTATTATCATATATTTATTTAATATTAATTTTCATTTGTTATGTTATTTTATTGATATGTATTATTATTTTAATATTAATGAATTATAAAAATTGACATATATTATTAAATGACCATTTAATATTAATAAACATTTATTTTAATGTTCTATTGGTATTTATGATTATTTTAATATTAATTATATTAAAATTACATTTGTTATTAAATGTCCAATTAATATGCATTTATTATTTTATTTTATAAATATTTATGATTATTTGAATATGAATTAAATCTTTTATTATATTTATTATTAAATGTCAATTTAACATTCATATACATTTGTTGTTATTGATATTTATGATTATTTTAACATTAATTTATTAATATTATTAAAAAATGTCATTTATTATTAAATGTCTATTTAATATTAATAGACAATAGTTTTAATATGCTGTTAATATTTATAATTTTTTAATATTAATTTTTATTATATTAATTATTAAATGTCAATTTAACATTCATATACTTTTGTTATGTTATGTTATTAATATTTATGATTATTTTAATATTATTGAATATTTTATTATATTTATTATGAAATGTCCATTTAATATTAATAAACATTTATGTTAATATTCTATTGATATTTATCATTATTTTAATATTAATTTATTATTTAAAAATATGGCATTTATTATAAAATGTCTATTTAATATTAATAGACATTTATTGATATTTATACTTATTTTGAAACACATTTATTATTTGAAAAATATGGACGTATACAGTATTATTGACTTGATTTAATATTAATAGGAAATTATTATGTATTTTATAATTTTTTCTTGCTATTTGTTATGCTATTTATTAAGCTATATTTCTAATTTGTTGTTATTTTATGGATTTTTTCATTGCTTTAATATACATTTATCATTAAATGTTCATTTATATTAATCGCCCTTTATTATTTGTTTTTCTTATTTGTTATTGATTATGTTATGTTATCTATATAGTTTCTATTTTTTATTTATTATGTTTTTTGTATTGACTAAATTATTTTTTTTTTTACATTTGATTTTACATTTTCTCAGTTGACAACAAAATGATTTGTCCTTCTGTGAAATAATGACAAATATATATAACAAACCACTGTTATACAATGACTTGCCTAATTACCCTAACTTTACCCTAATTACCCTAGTGAAGTCTTTAAATGTCACTTTAAGCTGAATACTAGTGTCTTAAAGAATATCTAGCCTAATAACATTTACTGTCATCATGAAAAAGAGAAAAGAAATCAGTTATTAGAGATGAGTTATTAAAATTAAGTTATTATGATTGGGTATAAAATATAAAATTATTAATATTGTATGTGTGTGTGTGTGTGTGTGTGTGTGTGTGTGTGTGTGTGTGTGTGTGTGTGTGTGTGTGTGTGTGTGTGTGTGTGTGCAGACGAGCACTAAAGAGAGCGGTGCGGAGGAGCGTTTGACGCCGGTGGCTCTGGCTCAGCAGGCGGCGCAGCTCAAACAGCAGCTGGTTTCAGCTCATCTGGACTCTCTGCTCGGACCCGACGCCCACATCAACCTCACCGACCCTGATGGAGCGCTCGCCAAGTCAGTCTAAACCCCATCATTTTCCGCTTTAGCTAATCAGTGAGCATATTCACAAAACATTAGGGGCCACACACATCATTGACATTACCATGTGATGGAACAGCACTTTAGATCAGCGGTTCCAAAACTGGGGTGCGCAGTCTGACCACCATGTGTGCGCGAGAGAATGTTTGTAATGGCAGAAAATATATATTTAATCGTTTATTTACTCATTTTCTTTTCGGCTTAGTCCCTTTTTTAATCAGGGGTCGCAGCAGCGGAATGAACCGCCAACTTTTCCAGTTAATGTGCATTAATACCATTCAGCTTCTTATGTTCGTGCAATCGGGCCCAGAGCTGTGAATGCAGCAGAGGGTGATGCGCCTGCTTATTTTAGTGATTTTAACCATGGATGAATGTAAGCATTTAGTAGTAGACTTGGAAGATTGTGTTAGTTGCTTGAAGGTGTGTATAAGTGTATGTGTGTGTGTGTGTGTGTGTGTTCAGGCGGTTGCTGACGCAGCTGGAGGTGGCGCGGGGCGTCCGGAGCGGAGCGGGTGCGGATGGGAAAACCGCAGCACCCAAAGGCCCAGACGGAGTGATTCTCTATGAGCTCCACAGTCGACCCGAGCAGGAGAAGTTCACTGAATCTGCAAAGGTACGACTTTCATTAGACGTCCAGCATGATTAATTACCAATTGCTATTTCTGCACATAATAATCGTCTGTGGGTACATGTAAAATGATTTTAATGATGTAGTAACTAAGAAACGTAACAAATTAAAGTATTTGAAATCAAACTAACTGTATTGATTTTGCTCTGCAACTCTCACATGGTCACTGAAGTTAAGCAGGGCTGCGCCCGGTCAGTACCTGGATGGGAGACCACATGGGAAAGCTAGGTTGCTGCCGTAAGTGGTGTCATTGAGACCAGCAGGGGGCGCCCAACCTGTGGTCTTTGTGGGTCCTAAAGGCTGATTTATACTTCTGCGTCAAGCGCACGCGTATGCTACAGCGCTGACGCATAGCCCTACGCCGTGGACGTCGGCATCGCTGACATGCACCTCTCAAAAACGACGTGTAGCGCAAGCTCTGTGTTTGGTCGGCTTGGTAGCGCTGACGAGTCTGGGCCGGACCGAGAGCCGTGCGAGCGACTTGAGAGTACAAGTGTGGAGTCCCGTGAAGGAGCTCCGGATGGAGAGTTTTGTTTTGTGTTTACCTGATGGTTAAAGTTGTTGCACCTCCGCCGGTTCCTGCCTCAAAATGAGCGAGTTTGAGTTTGACACAGAGACACATTTACACCTCACTGCCAACTAGCGTTTCGGAAGTGTTAATGCAGACCAAGAGAGACAGCGCGCAGAAGGGTTACGCCGGTCACTTGACGCAGAAGTATAAACCAGGCTTAACGCCCCAGTATAGTGACGGGGACTCTATACTGCTCAGTGAGCGCCGTCTTTCTGATGAGACATTAAACTGAGGTCCCGACTCTCTGTGGTCATTAAAAATCCCAGGATATCCTTAAAAATAGTAGGGGTTTCACCCCGGTATCCTGGCCAAATCTGCCCACTGGCCTCAGTCCATCATGGCCTCCTAACATAGCCATCATTAGCCTCCTAACATCATAACTGGCTTTATCACTCTGTCTCCTCTCCACCAATCAGCTGGTGTGTGATCTGGCTCAATGGCTGTCTCGCCATCCAGTTGGATGCTGCACCCTGGTGGTGAATGAGGAGATTCGCTCCAATGTGTACAGCGCTTTGAGTGTTCAGAAAAGAGCTATATGAATGTAACGCCCCATTCACACAGGGCGTCAGTGTCAACGCTTCGCCTTTACTTTGAATAGGTGACGTCAGGTGTTGCCGAACTGCATTGTGGATCCGTCGGCGCCGCTTCAGAGGCGTTGCTCACTGCAGAAGTTGGGACTTGCTCAACTTTTCAAGCGCCAACAGAAGCGTCAGCAAATCAGATCGCTGTATGCAAATACACCAGCTAGACAGTGGCCTATTGCTGACTGAATTTCATTGGCTGACGCTGCTATGACGATCGCGTCAGCCCCAACTTCAGACACGCCTTCAGTCAAGCATTGACGCTGATGCCCCGTGTGAATGTGGCGTAACTCTACCCAAGCCCTTTTCCCTATCTTTCTGAATGAAACGCCTACTTTACTACACCCAATCAGCTCGCAGTAGAAAAAACAAGCCACGCCCACTGTTTTCTTATTTAATATTCAGTTTCTCTAGGAACTGCGTCGCAATACAAAAACACTGTTGCAGCACTGTTTTCACCCTTGTGTGTGTTGCAGGTAGCAGAGCTGGAGAGACGTCTAGCAGAGCTGGAGACTGCGGTGGGGTCTGGGTCAGACAAACGGGTGAGCCAAAAACACTATGAGTTTAGTCTAAAAACACTTACTGGACTGAGGCCTGTGCAATATGAACAGATATACATATAGTAATGTATATATAGTTACAGAGAAAATGATCAGCCCAGTTTTTTAATTTTTAAATACTTCCCGGATTCCTGTTTCATAGAATGTTTTAGTAAATTTTTAAACATAATAACTAAATTATTTTCTTTGCCATACCTTAGCCAAAGTTTTGAATGAGATAAGCTAATTAAAAACCAAAGAATATAACATTATATATATATATATATATATATATATATATGGATATAGATATAGATATAGATATATATATGGATATAGATATATATATATATATATATATATATATGGATATAGATATAGATATATATATATATATATGGATATAGATATAGATTATTGTTAATTTGGAACCAGGTTATATAAGGGTGCTTTCACACCTACACTTTTGTTTCGGAACGTGTCTCGTTTGCCCAGTTAGCGCGGTTCGTTTGGCATATGTGAACAGGGCAATCGCGCTCTGTTCCGCGCCAAAGTAATCGCTTCGAGATCGCTTGAATGAGGTGGTCTCGGCTCGATTGAAACGAACCCTGGAGCGGATCGATTGCAGTGAGAAAGCGATCCGATCCGAGCGCGGTTATATCACAGTGTTTGTGGATATGTAATAGGCTTACGGCTATATGAAGAGAGAATTATGAGTATGGCGGGAAGTTTCGCGAGTCTCCGGATGCCCGCAAACGAGTGATGATCTCCCGGTAATCTCACGTCTCCCTCCCGGTCCTCAAATAGGTATCGTTGCGCACCCTTCTCACTCCTCCCCACCGCATCTCTCCTCAGACACGTTGCGCGCATACACCCTGTTAATCACCACCAAACCACCACCTCTCCTGACAGCTGAGCGGGACGCTGCAAAATAAACCCTGACACTCTGACCAATGTAAGGAGAGTTTACTCACACGTGACTTATTTTAGCTCTTTTGGTCCGATTAGAAACTTTGCCGTGTGAAAGCGAACCGCTCCAAGAGCAAAGAGCAACAATGTAACAACTGTAATCTCTGTTTCAGAACAACTGAATCGATTCACAGGTGTGAAAGCACCCTAAATGTATATTCCCACAGGGGCTTATAATAATAATAACCCAAATCCAGGTAGAACCACTTGTTTAGTAAACAAAGCTACAGCAGGTCTCTTATTTAATATATCCACTAAAAGACAAAGAAAATATTACTGTACAAATTGCATTGTGCAGTATATACAGTGATATATACTGTACGTACATACAAACACACATATTTATATTTACGTCTGGGGAAAATGTACGTTTTTAGATTTCATGTATTAGACTTTTAATTTGACTCTTATTTTTCTCTTTGCTTCAGTAAAGTTTTATTTATTTATTTATTTATTTATATTTTAATGAACTGATTGATTTTTCTGACTGTGTGTGTGTGTTTTCAGGGGCCGCTCAGCTCCGGGGTTCAGGGCTCCAGTCTGACGGTAAAGCACTGATCAACATCTCCACTGATGGACACATCTATTATTATTAATGCATGATACTGTAAAAGACTGGCAAATGCACACGAGCTGCTGTGCAACCAACAAAACCTACAACAAAACCCAACACACACATTTGTAAGTGAGGTGACATCTGCTGTGATGGCCGTGATAACATGCGGTGTTGATCTGTGTCCATAGGAGACTTTAGAGCTGCTGCAGGCGCGGGTCAGTGCTCTGGACGCTGCTACACTGGACCAGGTGGAGGCCAGACTACAGGTGAAACACACACACATACGCAGATCACACTGATTAAGCCTTTATTAGGCAGTCTTATAACATTCCAGGGTTCCATCCCAGTAAGTAATTCAAAAGCTGTTTTCCGTCTAAAGTTGTGAAATAGATTTGTGCACAAAAATGGAATATTGCTAAAAAACATAACGAATAAAGCAGCATTTTTATCCAACGAGTCAAAGACAATCAAAAAGTCTATCTAATAAATATAATATTACCTATTGTTGTTGTTATTATCATTTATTTATTTTTGAAATGTGACTCTGGACCGCATAAGCAGTCGTAAATCTTCTGAAGTTGAGATTTCTGGGCTGAATAAATCATCTTTCCATTGACGTTTGGTCTGTTAGGGTGGATAATATTTAGCTGAAATGCAATTATTAGACGATCTGGATTCTGAGGGTTTTAAACAAATCTAAATATTGAGAAAATCATCTTTAACGTTGAAGGAATTAGGTTTTTAGCAGTGCACAGTACTCAACAAAAATTGAGTTTTGATCATAGACTGTAAAATATATGGACGTAGTGTCCGTGACGTCGACCATAGGTTTCTGAACACTGCAAAAGAAGCCACAAGTAGGCGTGGCCAACCGTCGCCTTTTTGTCCGCCCGTCATCGCACCCACGGCGGGATACCAAACAAGGGCAAAGAGGCGGAGAGTGGGCGGAGCTACAGACACCTGGCTTAAACAGACGTTACTTTGGGAGAACGCTTAATACCTGCAACTTGTTTGTGTTATGAACACATGTGTTTGGTTGTTCACTACATCAATAAAGTGTTTAGCCTTTTAAAAATACTGCTGTAATACACTGAGCCACTAAACATTGTTCTTATGACGTTTTTCAACAGGAGGAAAACGCGAATTACTTCCAAACACTTCAGATATAGTCTGTGTTAGTAAATGTAAGACTATTGATGAAATCCAGCATAACACTGTATGACAACGCTTCAGATGACTGATCTAGAGCCCACAGCTAATCAATCTGACAGATTCTGGAGTGCATTACAGCTCTAAAAAAAACGTTATAAATGATCCTAAATAAAACAAATACATTTAAAGAGATGGTATACATCTTTACTTACATGTGAAACGGAGGCCACGTGAATGGTTTGTGAGCACAATTAAGTGCACTCAGCATGCCATGCCATCTAATAATTGTAGGAAACAAGTCCAAAAGGCAACTGACTGTGTAAAGCCACATAAAACAACACAGAAATACGATAAATATGACGAAATCAGCGGCTAACCTGCAGGATTCAGCTGAGGTGACGTGACGGCGACCAACGAGACCTAGCTGTCACTCAAGTGGCCACGCCCTTAATTATGCAAACTTAATATCACTTAATATAGAGGAAACCATTGAGTTATAAAAATATTCACCCCCTCACAGTTGTCATGAAGGGTAATATTAGCTGTATGAACCGAAATTGCTCTTTGTACCAGGCTGTAAACACCTTTTTTTCTGCTGTAAAGCTGGCCATTCTAACAGTGGGCTCAATTGAAATTTGCTCCATATTGAAATGCTCCATTTGGATGAATTGCAGTTTCAGTTGCTTCCTTATTGGCTTCCCGAGGGAGAGCGGGAGGTTGCCGCTTGGTTTTGATATGTTTATAATATATCAATATCAGAGAATTTACAAAGTGTCTTAAATGAGATTGATCTGTATTTAATAGTCTTATGATTTTTGGCATAAAATAAAAATCTATTTGTTTGACTTTTCCCACACACATACCGCTGCAGCTTGACTGATTTTGTGCTTCCAGAGAGTTTTAGATGAACCTTTAATGTCGTTATTGTGTAGTGTAAATCTAGAGTCAGTATTGGACACTAAACGCTTGTTTTCTGACTGCTTCCAGAGTGTTTTGGGGAAGATGAATGAAATTGCCAAACACAAGGCGACGATGGAGGACGCAGAGACTCAGAGTAAAGTAAGTGTGGAGTCCAGATGATGATGATGAACAAACGTTTCACAGCACAATTGAGCACACCCCATTTTAAAAATGACTATTTTTATCCATTTCTCAGTAAATATTGACTATATATTTTGGTGCTTTTAAGCAGAACAGTTTATTGAACAGATATATACGACGAACATCTTTAGGAATCGAGATATAATACATTTAAATTCAAGAGTTGTTATTGCAATAAAAAAAATTATAAACTACACTGTTTGAAAATAAATGTAATATTTTTGTGTGTTTCTCTTGATTTTTCCTGTTTATTAAACGTATATTAAGATTTTTAATACGTATAATTACAATTAATTTAAAACTATTAATTTAAAAGGGAGATATAAACATTAGACACTAATAATTGTTTTAAACTGTCATGAGTACAGTTGTGACCAAATAAATTTTAATTATAAATTTCCCAATCTTGTGTGTGTTTGTGTATGCTTCTGCATGTGTCTGTCTGTCTATGTTTGCATGCACGTGTGTGTGTGTGTGTGCAGGTGTCTCAGCTGTATGATGTGGTGCAGAAGTGGGATGCGATGGCCACTTCTCTCCCGCAGGTGGTGCAGAGACTGACTGCGGTCCGAGAGCTGCATGAGCAGGGTAACACTGTGTTTACAGCAGTATTACTGCATCATACACATCAGTACTACAGCTGCTATAAGGTCTGGGAGTCAAATACTTTAATGATTAAAAAGAATATCTAAATTATGGATGTAATAGCATAACACAAAATATTGTTTGCAAGATCACCTGATTCTCTGCTCTTTATTTGATTGGTTATTTAAGAAGACTAATATTGCTACATGAAATATGACTTTATTTCACTTTATGTACTTCTATAAACATATTTACTGTGTTTTATATAGTTATTAATAATCATATATATTTTTAAATGATTATATTATTATTATTATTATTATTACTGTTATTATTACTATTATTATTAGTATCACTATTGTTATTATCACTATTATTATTATTATTAATATTACTAATGTTATTATTATTACTATTATTATTATTATTATTATTATTATTATTATAACTACTACCATTAATATTTATATTATTATTACTACCACTATTATTACTACTATTGTTATTATTACTACTTCTATTATTATTATTATCACTACTATTATTATTATTAATATTATCACTATTACTATTATTATGATCACTACTATTAATATTATTATTAATATTATCACTACTATTATTATTATTATCACTACTATTATTATTTTTATTATTAATATTATCACTACTATTATTATTATTATCACTACTATTATTATTTTTATTATTAATATTATCACTACTATTATTATTATCACTACTGCTATTATTATTATTATTACTTCTATTATTATTATTATTATTATTATTATTATTATGATCACTACTATTATTATTATTATCATTACTACTATTATTATTATTATTATTACTGTTAATATGTAAACAGAGTGCAGTGTATGTGTGTTAAGATGTGTGTGTGTGTGTTTGTGTGTTTTTAGCGATGCAGTTTGGGCAGCTCCTGACTCACCTGGACACGACGCAGCAGATGATCAACAACTCACTGAAGGACAACAGCACACTCCTGACACAGGTCACACACACATACACAAACAATCCTTTACTTTTAAACACACTCAATCCTTCATTTGTAAACACACACACTCCCTGACAAAAGTCTTGTCGCCTATCCAAGTTTTAGGATAATTAATATATTAATTATAATATATTAATTAATATAACTAATAACTTGATATCTAGTTGATCGTTTGGTATGACAAGTGGCTCATATGAAAGGTGAAGGCCTCTAGATTTTGCTTATTTGAGCTCAATAAAATCTGATCATGTCTTGATTATTAATGATTTCATTAGGACAGTAAGCTCTGACTAAAGTCTCATGACTATATTCTATACTGGATATTATTTCTGTTTAAAGTCCTGCTGCAGTGGAGACAGAATGAATATTGTGTCTGACTCCATCATGAGCTTGCAGGACTGCATCCATACATCTCTGACATGACTCACATCACTGATTAATAAAGTCATCTGGAATGAAGAAGAAAGCGTTCAGCAGGATCCCAGAGCTCATCAAGAGTCTTTGTGTTCATCTTTAACACCTCCTCCTTCATCATGCTCAATAATGTTGATGTCTGGTGACTGGGCTTGAGTATATATATACATATATATATATATATATATATATATATATATATATATATAGCAGTTATATGTGTGTGTGTGTGTGTGTGTGTGTGTGTGTGTGTGTGTGTGTGTGTGTGTGTGTGTGTGTGTGTGTGTGTGTGTGTGTGTGTGTGTGTGTTTGTGTGTGCTTCTGCATGTGTCTGTCTGTCTATGTTTGCGTGCACGTGTGTGTGTGTGTGTGTGTGTGTGTGTGTGTGTATATATATATATATATATATATATATATATATATATATATATATATATTAATTATTTAACTGCTATTCAAATATATTAATAATTAATCCTCTCTTTATACAATTTATTAAGTTAAATTAAATAGTCAGGCGCTTACCCAAGGAGCTTCAGGTGGTTTGAAAGACCAAAAGTTTGATTATTATTATTATATTTGAATTTATCTTATCATTCAAATGGCCAAATTCTCACTGAGGAAGGTTGAATCATGCGCTGGCCAGTTGTTTATTTGCCTATAGGCTTCAGTTTTTAATTTAAATCAAGTTTTAACAGATTTCCCAAAGAAAACTTTTTTCAGACTTTTATATTTGAAGAGTTCAGATGCAAAAACCTCTATATGCCATTTAATATTTGCTTCTAAAATGAGCATTTTCTCCAACTTCTGTGTGAGGATTTAACTTTTATAGTGACGAATGCGTTCTTTTCATTGCCCTTAAAGTAAATAACTGAACATAAATATAAGAGGCTGAGAAAAATGCTCATTTACATGGCAGTTAGAGCTTTTGGCATCTGAACTCTTCTTTATTCTAAGAACTTAAAGTTTTTTTTATTATTTATGAAACTGTAATGAAACCTACAGTGTAAATGCACATGTGTAAATAAAGTAATCTGACAAAATGGTAGGAAACATCAAAAATATCCAATAATCAAACTATCCAACAAGATAATCCAGCACAAATTAGTTCTTAATATGTCACTAAAATGTAATATTTATACCTTAATTAATAAGAAGGAATAATTAATCAGATGAATAAAAGGTGCAGTTTTTCAGAAAACAAATAACCTCTCCTTTCAATAAGCTGGCCACAGGCCTAAAAGTGTAATGTTAAAGTAATGTTAATGAACTGATGAAGAGAGAGATTAATAAACACTTTCGTTCATTTTTTGTACAAGTTAAACATGTAGTATTATTAAAAGATGGAGCAATATTTTGTGAGATATTGTAGTTATTCTGACCTACTCTAGAGATTAGGAGAACTGGCAGGGTCATATACCTTTACAGGTGTTTATTCTGCAGTTAGTTTTCAGAAAATATTGTATAATAATTAGGGGTGTCAAAATTAATTGATTCTTCGGTGCACTGCGATGCAGACGTGAACAATTCGGTATCGGTTCAGTAATAATCATAACCGGTTATTACTGACGTCATTTACCTCATAAGCGCTCTGTTGCGAGGGAGGCGATCGCGAGTATTTACAGCGCTTTAACTACTTAAAACTCATAAACTGTGCACAATTTCACTGTGTGAGTTTGAGAATGAAAGTAGCCTACTCCATTTCTCTCTCTCTCTCTCTTGCTCGCTCTGCCTCTGTCTCTCTCTCTCTCTCTTTCTCACACACACACACACACACACAGTGGCCCATTTGACCTGCTGGCGTGGCTTTTCTTCTCCTCTCGGCTGTTTTACAGCATTACGTTTGGATACAGAAACGAGCGCATGTCTGCAGAGTTTTCTCCACCATGTCTATCATACATCAGCTGTGAGATCGCCGCTGCCACCTGCTGCTTATCATTCATCTGAAGAGCGCAGCGCGCAAGAGCCAATCGCAACCGTTTTTGTTGAGGGTGTGACCAATCAAAGAGGTGTGAGAGAACTAGACAAGGATCAGAAATTGAGCTGGATGTTTATATTTGTTTATATTATTTGCTAAATGCTCATTTTGTTTAAAGTTACAGTTTATATATCTGACTGTTTGTATTAAACGACAAAATTGTATTACAAATAGTATATAAATATATTCATACATTTTAATACAAGAAATGCTGCTGTGAAGAAAATATAAAAGCACCGTCAATGCACCGTGATGCACCGAAATATCGAATTGAACCGAATCGATGGCATGATAATCGTAACCGAACCGAACCGTGAGACTAGTGTAGGTTCACAGCTCTAATAATAATATATCAGTCTGCTTTAACGTTAAACTGACTATAAATGCGGCGAAAACACTAGCAATAGCGGCATTATCATGATGAACTCGCTCAGTATAGGGAACTTCAGCTTATGTGACTTACACTTTTCGTTGAAAAACGATCTTTATGTCCACCTTTTTCTGCTACCGCCATCCTCACTTGTGCGTGTCACACACCTCACACACATCGGGAAATTCCCCCCGAGCAGTTGCTTTGGCGCTCATTGTATCTGAAAGCAGCGTCTCACGTGACAGCAGGGAAAGGCACAGCCAATCACAATGTTCATATGTGTTTGAGGGCGGTGCGACTCAAGGAGAGAACGTGATTTAACCCTTTCGGCATGTCTCAGTTTATACTGAGCGCAATGTTGTTTTTAAGTGAGTTAATTTATTGGTGGGGACATTTCAGTATTTGGTGGATATTGGTGGGGACACGTCCTCTCCATCCACCCTAAATCTACGCCCTTGCCGTAGTGTATGAGTATGAGTGTGTATGGGTGTTTCCCAGTGATGGGTTGCAGCTGGAAGGGCATCTGCTGCATAAAACACATGCTGGATAAGTTGGCGGTTCATTCTGCTGTGGCGACCCTGGACTAATAAAGGAACTAAGGCGAAAAGAAAATGTATGAATGAACATGTTCATATACCGTGGTAAATGTTTGGCTCAGTATTAGTTGATGTTAGTAAATGCATTACCTTTATTGTAAAGTGTGAGCGTTTCCTACTGTCGAATGATCAGGTGTGTATTTACTCATGACATCCTCCATCTCTCTCTGACTGACTGCAGGTCCAGCAGACCATGAAGGAGAACCTGCTGGCCGTGGAGGAAAACTTCTCAGCGCTGGACCAGAGGATGAAGAAACTCAACAAGTAGATGCTTCCCGTCCACAAAAGCAGACCAAGGTGGAGACCAAACCACAGCTTCACCCTTTATCATTCACACAGACTCTGAAACTCACAAACGTCTGAATCTGAACATAATGAAGACCCGAAGAGAGTTTTCCCGCACCTCCATCGTGCATTGTGTAAATATAGAGGCGCACACTGCAGGACACAGGCTTTCCACTCAGTGTGCATCTCGATTCTAGTCTGAATATCTAAACACTCTTAAATCAAGAAGCGTTTTTCAGACTAGTAACAATTATAATCTTGTTTTCAGCAGTATTGAGGTGAGTTTGTTCTAAATAATCTGCCTATGGTGTTCGAAAAATAATGTTTATTCTGTAAAATAAGATTATTCCACTCCATTGGTGGATTATTGTGCTTGTTTTAAGGACAAACTCACTTCATTATTGCTGAAAACAACACAGAAAATGCTTCTTAATTCAAGAGTTTGTTGCTATATGGACTGCAAACAGGACACAAACTCTGAGTAAAGGCTCTTTGCAGTGTGTTGTGCTGATCTTGTTCTCATGAGAGATTGCTTGTAACCGTTATTGTATTATTAATGTGGTGTTCAGTCCACAAATGATGACCAGTTTCAATATAGAATTTCACATGCTTCTCTGGATAATAAACAGCTTCCAGAATGACGGCTCATGGTGTTGTTTCTCACTGTTTATTTTCACCCCATCATGATGATGAAGACACTGATTTTAGAGCTTTCGTTTTAATCGTCAGCAATTTTATCAACAATATTCAAGCTCATATGTATATCCAATCAAGAAGGTCGCTGGTTCGAGCCCCAGCTGGGTCAGTTTGTGCTTATTTGAGTTACTGTTGCCTTTCTATCAGCTGGAACCAGTCTGGCCATTCTCCTCTGACCTCATCAACAAGGCATTTGCGCCCACAGAACTGCCGCTCACTGGATATTTCCTCTGTGTCGGAGCATTCTCTGTAAACCCTAGAGATGGTTGTGCGTGAAAATCCCAGATCAGCAGTTTCTGAAATGCTCAGTCTGGCAGCAACAACCATGCCACATTCAAAGTCACTTAAATCCCCTTTCTTCCCCATTCTGATGCTCAGTTTGACCTGCAGCAGATCGTCTTGATCATGTCTACATGCCTAAATGCATTGAGCTGCTGCCATGTGATTGGCTGATTAGAAATTTGCGTTAACAAGCAGCTGGACAGGTGTACCTAATAAAGTGGCCAGTGAGTGTATATTCCTTAAGGACAAGTAAACATTTCTTTAAAAAAACACACACACACACACAAATAATCTAGCAGTAGACGTCTCATCTCATTTAAAACATTTTAATTTGTTAAATAAAACGAAAAAAAATCAACTCCCGATAAAAAGGAAATGCTACTTGTTCACAATCTCAAAGTATTTTCTTTACAAATCAAACATGAATATGAGAAAGGAAAGGTTCTGTCGGGTTTTCCCCTGCAGGAGAAATATTTTACAAATTGATCATTTTTTTTTTGTTTTCCTAAAAAAGGTGTACAAAATAAAATACTAAAACTGTACATATTTACAGAAAGTCAATAGTAAAATTGCATAATCAGCCTCATTATTAAATCATCATTTTAAATATTCAGTAATATTCTTGTGCCTGTGTTGATGAACTCTGGGAAACACAGTCCTGATCCACGACTAAAGCCTACAGACCTACAAATACACAATACACACACTCCTGCTTCTCTCTCTCAAACACACACACAGAAAAAACACAGACAACACAGAGTCATGCATAAAACTGACTCTCAATCTGTTGGTGAAAGGGGTTAGGACTGAAGGATTGTGGGAAATCAAAGAGCCAAGAGAAAAATGATAGTAAAAATAGATGGAGAATTTATAGTCATTATTATATTAGTGTTGTGTGTGCTCCATATGCATGCACTGGCTGTGACGCATGAGGACTGATGTTTGCAGACTGTCAGCGATGTGTCTCTTCTGTTAAAACCACAACAGGAAAAATTTACAGCGGCCGACAGAGCTTAACGTGCTGCAATTTAAGAAAACTTATCTTCATCGGTTTGATATTAAACATTAGAAAATGCGCAGCATTCTCACACAATGCAAACAAATTTACAAAAACGCGCTGCAATTTCACAACGCAAACAAATTTACTAAAACGCGCTGCAATTTTTGCGCGTTTTTGAAATTTGTTTGCGTTGTGAGAATGCAGCGTGTTTTATTAATCTGTTTGCGTTGTGTGAAAATGCAGGCATTATCGTAAATTTGTTTGCGTTGTGTGAAAATGCAGGCATTATCGTAAATTTGTTTGCATTGTGAGAATGCAGGCGTTATCGTAAATTTGTTTGCGTTGTGAGAATGCAGGCGTTATCGTAAATTTGTTTGCATTGTGAGAATGCAGGCATTATCGTAAATTTGTTTGCGTTGTGTGAAAATGCAGGCATTATCGTAAATTTGTTTGCATTGTGAGAATGCAGGCGTTATCGTAAATTTGTTTGCGTTGTGAGAATGCAGGCGTTATCGTAAATTTGTTTGCATTGTGAGAATGCAGGCATTATCGTAAATTTGTTTGCATTGTGAGAAGGCAGGCGTTATCGTAAATTTGTTCGCATTGTGAGAATGCAGGCGTTATCGTAAATTTGTTTGCATTGTGAGAAGGCAGGCGTTATCGTAAATTTGTTCGCATTGTGAGAATGCAGGCGTTATCGTAAATTTGTTTGCATTGTGAGAATGCAGGCGTTATAGTAAATTTGTTTGCGTTGTGAGAAAATGCAAGCGTTATCGTAAATTTGTTTGCATTGTGAGAATGCAGGCGTTATCGTAAATTTGTTTGCATTGTGAGAAAATGCAGGCGTTATCGTAAATTTGTTTGCGTTGTGAGAATGCAGGCGTTATCGTAAATTTGTTTGCGTTGTGAGAATGCAGGCGTTATCGTAAATTTGTTTGCATTGTGAGAAAATGCAGGCGTTATCGTAAATTTGTTTGCATTGTGAGAATGCAGGCGTTATCGTAAATTTGTTTGCATTGTGAGAATGCAGGCGTTATCGTAAATTTGTTTGCGTTGTGAGAATGCAGGCGTTATCGTAAATTTGTTTGCATTGTGAGAAAATGCAGGCGTTATCGTAAATTTGTTTGCGTTGTGAGAATGCAGGCGTTATCGTAAATTTGTTTGCGTTGTGAGAATGCAGGCGTTATCGTAAATTTGTTTGCATTGTGAGAATGCAGGCGTTATCGTAAATTTGTTTGCGTTGTGAGAATGCAGGCGTTATCGTAAATTTGTTTGCGTTGTGAGAAAATGCAGGCGTTATCGTAAATTTGTTTGCATTGTGAGATGCAGGCGTTATCGTAAATTTGTTTGCATTGTGAGAATGCAGGCGTTATCGTAAATTTGTTTGCGTTGTGAGAAAATGCAGGCGTTATCGTAAATTTGTTTGCATTGTGAGATGCAGGCATTATGCAGAGCGTTTTCTTATGTGTTTTTTGTAGTTGCATGTGTTTTCTTAAATTGCAGCAAGTGAAGCTCTCTCGGCCACCAGAGAAATTAGTGTCGGGGATGTTATGTTTGTTTTTCTGTTTGGTGCAAATTTATAAAACATTCCTATAAATAAAGTGTATATATATATATATATATATATATATATATATATATATATATGGTAAAATGTAAGGGGAAAAATGTAATTCATGAAGAACTTTTTTTTTTTGGTAGTTTTCCAGCAAATAAAAAATCCAAAATTCTGCTATGAAGAAACATTGAATGGCAAAAATAAAAATAGTAGCAGTAATAATAATAATAATATTAATGCCTTTTTGGGGCATAAATTCATTTAAATGTTTGAGTTTTTTGTTAATTTAAAAAACTAAATTATTTTAGTTTTATTTTTTATAAAAAAAAAAAATTTGTTTAAAACTAATTTATATTAGTTTTATTTCATATAAAACTTATTTGCTGGACAATTCATATTCATAAAAATGAGATGAATTTTTGTTTAATGATTTTAAGTCAAAGTTTTTTTGCTGAAAATGGAGCTTAAAAAACTAAAACCAAAAAAATCTGATAATTCTTCAGAAAAGAATCTGTTAATATGTTATTGATATATTATGGTAATATATTTATATTAATATAATTCATTCACTTTCCTTCAATTTAGCTCAATTTAGTTCAATTTATTGAACCACCAACTTATCCAGCATATGCTTTACACAGCGGATGCCTTTCCAGCTGCAACCCAGTACTGGGAAACACCCATACGCTCTCATTCACACACACACACTCATTCACTACAGCAGGTTTAGTTTATCATTTCCCCTATAGCACATGTGTTTGTACTGTGGGGGAAACCGGAGCACCTGGAGGAAACCCACGCCAACACGGGGTGAGTGTGGATGAGTATTTTGTGTATGGGTGTTTCCCAGTACTAAGTTGCAGCTGGAAGGGCATCTGCTGTATAAAATATATGCTGGAATAGTTGGTGGTTCATTCCACTGTGGCAACCCCTGATGAATAAGGGATTAAGCTGAAGGAAAATGAATGAATGAATGAGACAGAGAGACACACACACAGGTTGAGCGAGAGCGAGACAGAGTGAGCGACATTCAGACACACACACACACACACAAAGAGGGGAGAGAGAGACTGACACACAGATAGAGCAAGAGGCATTGAGACAGACAGCAAGCAATATTCAGACACACACACACACACACACACAAAGTGAGTGAGAGATGTTCAGACACACACACACACACACACACACACACAAAGTGAGTGAGAGATGTTCAGACACACACACACACACACACACACACACACAAACAGGCGTGACTCTTCACAGTGGCTGATGTAGTGCTGGTGTTGTTCAGCGCAGGACGCGGCGTCTCTTTCCTCTGCTGGAGCGAGATGATCTGGACACCAAGATCTGCGCGCACACACACACACACACACACACACACACACACACACACACACACAGGTCAACACAAACACATGTACATATACAGCTGAAGGTGTGTGAAATGTGTGTGTTCCCTCACTGCAGAGGCCGAAGGCTCCTCAATGATGCTGTCGATGCCGCCGGGCAGATCTGAACCCATCTGAAGCCTGAGGATGAGGAGAAAGATGAAGACGGGATAAGAAAGAGGAGTAAAGGCTCTGCAGTGAACGAAGAAGAGGATGAAGAACTCACGTCTGTTTCCTCTTGCGCCCCCTTCTGGATCCTGTGTGCACGTCTTCAGCCTTCACACACACACACACACACACATTAAGAGTGTGTAATTCAGCAGGTTATTAAAGCACACAAAGAGCACGTTTACATGGACACCAATCATCTGACTTTAATACGATTAAGACAATACTCTGATTAAGAGTCGACCATGTGAACTGAGATTATTTCAAACATTTTTAATGAAGCTAAATCTGAAGCTAAAAAGATTTATTTAAAAAAACTAAAATAAAATGAGAAAAGCACAAAAACACTGGTAAAAACCATAGACTGTAAAATATATGGACGTTGTGTCCGTGACGTCACTCATAGGTTTCTAAAGAGCGCAAAAGAAGCCACAAGCAGGCGTGGCCAACCGCCGCCATTTTGTTCGCGCGTCACCACACCGACGGCGGGATACCAAACAAGGGCAAAGAGGCGGAGAGTGGGCGGAGCTACAGACACCTGCTGGCATTTAGCTTGGACCTGGTTCAGACACACTTTACTTTGGGAGAAACGCTTAATACTTTACCACCTGCGACTCGCTTGTGTTCTGAACACTTGTGCTTGGCTGTTCACTACATCAATAAAGTGTTTAGACTTTTAAAAACACTGCTGTAATACACTGAGCCACTAAACATTGTTCTTATGACGTTTTTCAACAGGAGGAAAACGCAAATCACTTCCAAACACTTCAGATATAGTCTGTGTTAGTAAATGCAGGACTATTGATGAAATCCAGCATAACACTGTATGACAACGCTTCAGATGACTGATCTAGAGCCTGCAGCTAATCAATCTGACAGATTCTGGAGTGCATTACAGCTCTAAATATAAATATAAACGATAAATGATCTTAAATAAAACAAATACATGTATAGAGATGGTATATAAGTATATAACTTTACTCACATGGGAAACGGAGGCCATGTGAATGGTTTGTGAGCACAATTAAGTGCCCTCAGCATGCCATGCCATCTAATAATTGTAGGAAACAAGTCCAAAAGGCAACTGACTGTGTAAAGTCACATAAAACAACACAGAAATACGATAAATATGCTGAGATCAGTGGCTAATCTGCAGGATTCAGCTGAGGTGACGTGACGGCGACCAACGAGACCTAGCTGTCACTCAAGTGGCCACGCCCTTAATTATGCAAACTTAATATCACTTAATATAGAGGAAACGGACGAGTTATAAAAATATTCACCCCCTCACAGTTGTCATGAAGGGTAATATTAGCTGTATTAACCAAAATCTTTGTTTGTGTCAGGCTGTAAACACCTTTTTTTCTGCTGTAAAGTTGGCCATTCTAACAGTGGGCTCAATTGAATTTTGCTCTATTATGGAGCCAGGAGCGGCCAGGACTAGCGGAATTTCAGATGAATTGCAGTTTTAGTTACTTCCGTATTGGCTTCCTGAGGGAGAGCGGGAGGTTGCCGCTTGGTAAAAACTTACAGAAATATTCTCTCAAGACATCTATAAATACTTTTATAAAAAAAAAACAGAATAAAAGCAAATAAAACTTCTAAATTAAAACAAATATATGTAAAAAGGCAATTTAATGGATTATATGTGGCTAGTGTGAAGCCCTCACTGACCCTGATTTGCTCCGCGTGGCTGATATCTTCATCCTCGTCTCTGCTCGTCCTCTGTGTGGGACTCAGATACTCCTGCACTCCTGCATCTTCATCCTCATCCTCCTCCTCTTCTTCTTCTCCTCCTTCAGAGCGGAGGCCGTTGCTGAACACACAGTGTTTGGATGTGTGTGTTTTGGCCTCCTCTACTGTGAGTGCGTGTGCTCCGGCTGGCCTGCAGGGCGGCGGCGGCGAGTCTCCGCTGGGTTTGGGCGTCCCGCGGGCCGGAGACTGAGCCACATCCGGGCCTAGGCGGGACAAGTCAGGGTTGTGGACGGAGCAGGCGCGGCGTGGGCTCAGAGACGGAGGAGCGCTAGCCTGCTGGAGGAGCGCTGGGAAGGTCAGCGGGTTCGAGTCGGAGCCGCGTTCGCTCACCTGCAAGAACAACGCAATGTTTATTTTCACAGCACATTTCATTCATGGTGAGTGAGCGCCGCCTTGTGGTACCATCACAGAGAGACGATAAGTCCTTTAGAGTGCTTTTAAAGGGTCACGAAACACCAAAACACATTTTTTGAGCTGTTGACAGTCTTATATGTGTCCCACACTGCTAAAAACACTATTAGGACACCTATATTTCACTAAGAAGTGTAAATTGGTTGTTTTTGCGTTATTTCCAGCAAATTCGTACTTCTGGTTTGAAACGAATTTTTGAAGCTGCGTCACGGTCATGACATAATAGCGTGTATTCCAGCGTGTAGACTGAGCGTCTGTGCCAGAGTGTGTCTTATTACGTCTTACAGTGTGCTGCATTAATGCATGAGTAAAGCTTGGTTCAAACCAATCAGCGCGCTCTATTGTGCAACTTCATTAATATTCATTACTGTCACAGTGTTTAGACGACAGAGACGCCACGTTGTGTTGGCAAAACAAGCGTGAAGTGTTGCTTTTATAGTTTGCTGCAGTGAAGTTTTGTTTCCATTTTCTCTCTGTGAGAGCTCAGCTGGAGTCACGTGTGGATTAACAGTGTACGCGACGCTCGACAACAATAACTTACGTGTCTAAGGAGGAACATTGTTTACCTGAGAGCTGTTCTCATCTGCAAACGCTGAGATCTGGATTCGCTTTAGTCTCCTCTTAATAAAGACGCGGCTCTAGTTGCTGGTGATTGTCCTGTCTCTACAGATTTGGTAAGTGAGCGACCAGTGCTCTTTGTTTATTCAGTTTGTTCGTATCGAACTAAGTTAACTATTGCACCGAGTGTAAACATGTTAGCACCACAACCAAACTTTAACCTCGTGTAGGATTTTCACCGCATTTAGTGACCGGAATAACACACGCGGCTTTCTGACACTACCTGCCGTGTGCATGTAAGTTTCCGGGAAATGCGGAGGGTTTTTTTTCTCTCATTCGCCGTGCGGTATCAAACATTGCATGAAAAATACACGCTTAGAGCAGCTCCTCGAATCAAATATCTCGTTTGTTGCGAGGGACATGAATGAAATTCCCTGAATGAAAGAGCCAAACTGCAGTTAAAGTCCACCATTTAATAATTTGCCAAATAATTCAACTACAGATGTCCATGTAAACACAGTTACTTTCTCCCCTGTGTGTGTGTGTGTGTGTGTGTGTTTTGACTCTAATAACTCGGCGTGCCCAAATAGACACTCCTACACCATCCCACTTTAGTTCCTCCAACACTCCCCCTAAACAGAGCTGGACACGCCCACTTTTCAGACTTTTTCCAAAGTAGAGGTGTGAAAACACCCTGCTGAAACGAGGGGGTTTCATGGCCCTTTAAAACATTGAGTTTCACTTTTTAGTCGAAGCTCACTCACCTGCAGGAAGGAGGTGTAGATGGTGTCCATGAAGGATCCGTACGGATCGAACAGCCCTGGCGCCTCTCTCTGCTGCGACAGGGAATCATGAGGCGGAGCGGCGGCGTCCTGTGGCGGAGGAGTTTCATGCAGCGCTACGGGCTTTTCTCCCATGAGCGCCGGCGCCATCGTCAGCTGGGGAGAAGAAACAACAATAAACACTCGTGATGACGACAGAAGGCTGGTTTATACTAGAAGTGTCCGCTAGTCATCGCTGTGTTGGTGATGTTCATTTTGGGTGCACATGGTATGATGGAGCATACAACTTATTTTGTAACTTTATTCAGGGCTCCACATCCGAAGACGCACAACTTGGAGCCAAGTCTGGCCGAGCTGGGGGAATTTATGGCCCGTTTCCACAGAGGTACGGTACGGGTCAGTACAAGTCAACTTTATCAGGCTTGTGTTTCCACCATAGAATGTAAAATATATTGTAATGTAAATATATGTGACGTCACTCATAGGTTTCTAAAGAGCGCAAAAGAAGCCACAAGTAGGTGTGGCCAACCGTGACCATTTTGTTCGCGTATCATCACACCCACGGCGGGATCCCAAACAAGGGCAAAGAGGCGGAGAGTGGGCGGAGCTACAGACACCTGCTGGCATTTAGCTTGGACCTGGTTCAGACACACTTTACTTTGGGACGCTTAATACTTCATCACCTGCGACTCGTTTGTATTCTGACCACTTGTGCTTGGTTGTTCACTATATCAATAAAGTGTTTAGTCTTTTAAAAACACTGCTGTAATACACTGAGCCACTAAACATTGTTCTTATGACGTTTTTCAACAGGAGGAAAACGCAAATTACTTCCAAACACTTCAGATACAGTCTGTGTTAGTAAATGCAGGACTATTGATGAAATCCAGGATAACACTGTATGACAACGCTTCAGATGACTGATCTAGAGCCCACAGCTAATCAATCTGACAGATTCTGGAGTGCATTACAGCTCTAAATATAAATATAAACGATAAATGATCTTAAATAAAACAAATACATGTATAGAGATGGTATATAAGTATAGAACTTTACTCACATGGGAAACGGAGGCCATGTGAATGGTTTGTGAGCACAATTAAGTGCCCTCAGCATGCCATGCCATCTAATAATTGTAGGAAACAAGTCCAAAAGGCAGTTGACTGTGTAAAGTCACATAAAACAACACAGAAATACGATAAATATGCTGAGATCAGTGGCTAATCTGCAGGATTCAGCTGAGGTGACGTGACGGCGACCAACGAGACCTAGCTGTCACTCAAGTGGCCACGCCCTTAATTATGCAAACTTAATATAACTTAATATAAAGGAAACAGATGAGTTATAAAAATATTCACCCCCTCACAGTTGTCATGAAGGGTAATATTAGCTGTATTAACCAAAATCTTTGTTTGTCTCAGGCTGTAAACACCTTTTTTTCTGCTGTAAAGTTGGCCATTCTAACAGTGGGCTCAATTGAAATTTGCTCTGTTTTGGAGCAGGAGCGGCCAGGACTAGCGGAATTTCAGATGAATTGCAGTTTAGTTACTTCCGTATTGGCTTCCTGAGGGAGAGCGGGAGGTTGCCGCTTGGTTTCCACTGCCAAAAGTGTACCCTTTTTGAGGGCGAGGTGTTTGACAGTTTCAGATGACATAATTTTTACTCGAGGATATGTCTACAGTAAAGCTGTACGACATATCATATGAGCAGCAACTCACAAAACATGCTTTACACGCATAAATACTGTATAAATGTTCTTTACTAACCTTTCATTAACATGATTAGATTATAACTGCAGATTAATGACAGTGGGAAATAGCCTACTGTAATGTCTGCGATTATATGTCAGTAGTTCAGCAAGCCTCTGCCCTTCCTCAGTGTAAATGAACATCAGCTGCTTCAGGCCAACATCTGCATCAGCAGGAGGATGAAGATGAACCCAGGGTGGACATTTCAGCAAGACAATGAGCCAAAACACAGCCGAGGAGACTCTCAGATGCTTTCAGAGAAAGAAAATCAAGCTGTAGAATGGCCCAGCCAATCACCTGACCACAATCCGATAGAGAATACAGAATAAAGCTCAGATTTGATAGACGAGGCCCACAGAAGCATCGAGAGTTTGACACTCTGTGAAAAACTCACACCTGAGCAATGCATGTGACTCCACTACTACCTGTCCAAACAGTTTACAAAAGTTGATTTTGTATGCTAGGTGCCCTGCAAATGACCACATAGTTTCCTATCATGCTCTGATCCAGAAAAGCATGAGGATGCTGAAATGCCGATGCTGTTAGATGTGTGTAAACTAGCGGTATAGAAGCGCTCGGGTGTGTGTTGTACCTGCAGGCAGGTGAGGGGGTTGAGAGTGGTCTGGTTCTGTGTCAGCGGGACGCCCTGCGGCAGAAGAAGAGGTCCTGCTCCCAGTAAACCATGAAGACTGTTGATGTTCCCTAGAGCGGCCAGGTCACCTGAACACACACACAAACACACAAAATATGAGAATCACCAACATACTGTGTAGGCATGGGCCGATAACCGATTTCAAGGTTTACTACGGTTTGGAAAAGTCAGTTTTAAGACAGCAAAATGGTTTCAAGGTATATGCAATAGAGGTGTGCACCTACACTGGTCTCACAGCTTGGTTCGGTTACGATTATGTCGATTTGGTTTAATTTGATATCTCGGTGCATCACAATGCATTGATGATGCTTTCCATACATAATTCAAAGGCTGTTTCTCAATGTGTTCTTGTCTGTACTTGCGTTCTTGTGTCCTCGTGAAACGTCATCAACAATCGCCAAAGTACTGTTCCAATTCAAAGTTCACATCTTGCCAAGTACAGATAAAATTCCAGGATGTGTACTTGTGTCTGCTCCTTTGGCCAAGGATGCATCGAGAGGTGACTTGTGCGAACTTGTGAAGCTCAGGAATCTCAGAATGCTTTGCAGCTAAACCAGCAAACGCTAATGGCGGAGGAGAAAACCCGCACGGTTTTAAAAATACTCCTTTACTGTGTCACAAAATAAAGTTTTAACAGTTTTTCAGGTGAGAATGTAGTTGTTTTAAACCCAAAACAGTAGTTTATTTACAAAAATAGTGCATCTTTGACTATGTGCCTCAGCTTATGCGGACTTCCAGACTGCCAGCGGGAGCTCCAGAATCACCTCCCCTGCCGAGAGCAGCTTTACTTCAGCCTGTCCATCTCGGATGTACCGCTGGATCTCACTCTATTGTAGTTAAAACATGATATTTAATACATCTTGTTAAATCTATTATTTGTTCTCAGGTGTGTTATTTTGGCAGTATTCTTTTATTCCCTTTTATAATTGTCTTTAATTATGTTACCGTGTTGTACGCTGTTTGTCTTTGTTTACCAAATTGTTTGACGTAATCTTTATTTCTTATCGTGTATCTTTAATTCTTATAGTGTTTACACTTGTATAATTACTAGGGATGTAACGGTATTGTAAATACCGTTAATAAAATATTAAATAATATTAATTTTTTTCGATATTACCGAAGTCGCATGACTCGGTAAAACTATAGGTCTTCTGAGAAAATTTGCTCAGGCGAATGAAGCGAACGGGAGATAGCGAAAACTACAATTGCCATCAGCCCATGCTTGACCATCATCCCTTGCGGTCTGTTGTCGCTACAGATCCAGTAATGCGGAAATGGAGTGTGCTGCTAGAAGCGGGGATGAAAAGAGCTGGAAAACTCTAAGGCCCTGTTTACACTAATGCGTTTTAGTTTGAAAACGCATAAGTTTTGCTACGGTTACGCCAACCGTCCACAATACGCCGGAGTTCTCGAGCGCCGAAAACTGCAGCTCCGTCTCAGTGTGGATGATGGAAAACGGAGACATCTGAAAACGGAAGCGGGGCTGCAGACGTTTGCCTCTCTGATTGGGGCTTTTCCTGAATATTAAGTAGCCTAACACACAGTTCAGTCCTGCATTATCTCCGTGTAAGTTCAGACTTCGCAAGTTTGATCAAGGCTGCAGTCTCTTCTTCTCAGTTTGATATGGAAAAGCAGATTATACCGAGGACACGGGTAAATCTTCAAAGGGAACAGTGTACTTTATAACTTCATTCACATCACCCTGGCTTGTTTCACTTTCTCAACAATAAAATGTAAACATGATTTAAGGAACTGCCTATTTTCATTTTAATATTAGCAACTTAGACAGCAGACATGTTGAGGCGTCGTGCTGCATAAGATGAGCGTCATCTTCACTGTGTGGATATTTATAACAAAACGGAGCCGATAACAACTGCCTCCTTTCAATTTCAGTGAAAATACGAAACACAGCCTCTCTTTTGCCAAAAAACGTTACCTGAGAACAAGTATTAGATTCCAATGACCAAAGTCAGGGAATATGTCGTTAGATAAAGACAACAAGATAAATGAAATATCCCGTTTAATAAATATAGTGAGATTAGATCCAGCGGGAGATGCTTGATGAGAAGTCCGACTAGCAGAGCTCTCATCTGGGTAGATGGGCTGAGTGTGATTAAATGTTGAATGTGATGAGTTTTCAACAATACTAAATTGAAACTTTATTTTTTTACATGGTTTAATAATTTTTTGTCATTAAAATTGAAGTTCCTGTTTCAAAGCTTACAGATAGATGGCTAATTTGTATGTCATTGACACTTTTGGCACTTTTTTGGAGTATTTTCATAAGTTTTGTTTTTTCCTGTAAATGATTCAATAAATACCGTACCGTGACATTCATACCGAGCTATTACCGTACCGTGAAATTCTGATACCGTTACATCCCTAATAATTACCATTGTAGTTTATTAAATCTGATAATCAAAGATACGTGTCTGTGTATAATAACTCATTTCACTTCATTTATATGAATTTGTGTACATTTTCTTAAATCAAAAATGTAGATTTATAATGTAAATATAATGTTAATTACAGGGTCGCGCTTAATGTAAATAAATCATTTTATTTTTAATGTACAGTGAAACCAATGAATTCATGGTGAGGTAAGTGACGTTGTAAAGTACACTGCCGTTTCATTTGAAGAAGTACCCGACTTGCGTCCTCCGGAGTTCGTTCTTCCAAGTCTGAACTTCCAAGGGCGCAAGTCCGAACTTTGCATACTTGATATTGAGAAACAGCCAATATTTTTACTTCACAGCACAACAATTCGGGTATTTTAATATTTGTATTATTATTGTATTATTTGTACATTAAACCTCTATGATTGGTCACTCGCTCAACAGAAGCGGCGATCACAGCTGATCCATGATAGATGTGGTGGAGAAAAGTCGCTCTGCAGACACGCTCTTGTATCGCTCGTGTAACAGCCGAGAATAGAAGAAAAGTCATGTCCACTCACAATAAAAAAGGTCATGTCATAGTACCATATTATACAAAAAAAATCTCACCGCAGCTGAGTGCGAGAAGTTTCTGTAAACGGCCAAATAGTGGTGATATTAATAATAAATAAGGGTGTCAAGATTTCGATTTTAAATTAATTTTAAATTGAAATCGATCGAAATTTATGCTTAATTTAGATTATCGAATCAAAAAATAGAATCGTCGATGCTGCCACGCCCCCATGTCACGTCAGCTTGGCTTGCCAAGCGGGGAAAAAAAAGACGCTTGTTGAAGTGCTTGTTAAACTGTGCAGAAGCAGGAGACCCGTCGACAGAGCTTAAACCCTCTCCTCTTTCAATGAAGTCGCCGGTGTGGAAGCATCTGGGATTTCCAGTGAGTTATGTTGACAACGTTCGTGTTGTCGACAAAAAAAACACAGTTTTGCTATGTACGTATTAGAGTTCGTCTGATAGACAACACCAGCATCGCGTTTTTTTTGTGCACCTTTTTTTACCGACACCATTATAACGACACAGACCACTGCCTATTCACGAGTCCCGCAGAAAAAGTGATTGACAGGTGGTAATTATGTGTGTAACTTGCATTTATTCATTTACTGTATTATTTATTTATGGGTAAAACAAAGACCATGCAGGTCAGGTAGTTTAAACGGTAGGCTACAAATAATTAATTCGTTATTAATTAATTAATTAATTATTCATAATCAAAAATCGAATCGAACCGTGACCTTAGAATCAAAAATGTAATCGAATCGAGGTTTGGAGGATCGTGACACCCTTAATAATAAAGGTGAAAAAATAGGAAGTGCTGCAGTGGACGATGATGAAGAACACACAGACAAAAATCCTCAGTCGCCGACAGCTGTTGTTACGGGCCAACCAAGCGGCAACAAGGAGGTCAGGTGGTTTGGAGTGCGTTGTGAGCTGAGCACTACCGAACGCAGAGGGGTGAAGCCGCGGCCCTGGTGCTGAAGGAGCGCATGCTGCAGTATTTTCCCGGTGAAACGAGTGCTTGCAAGACTGGGAAATCCCACATTCAGAAAATCCAGCAAACTTCAGATCACTTCCTTAGAAGAAATGTTTCCTGACTACAAAACGCTGCTAAAGTGGCGCTACCCAGATAGCAGGTAGTAATCGGCCCGAGCTTGGCTGCCCTTTCGGCGCCTCTGGTTCCAGCTTCCGACTCAGCATCGGCGAGTGTTATCCATGCGTTTGTGATGCGGCTGTAAACCACTGGCCCGATTCCTGTTAACCATATCTGGCTCGAATCTATCTGTAGAGTCCGGGTCGCTTCTGGCAAGGACTCTCCAGTGTGGCAGCAGAACGCGGCTTCAGCCTCCAGAACAAATTTAAAACTGTCAGGAGAAGTCAACTTTCCGAGGCAACGACACAGAATTTAATGACGACTGCCTCTGCATCAGTCTCTCTTGATGCGCTTGATTACGCACAGGCCAGCACCCAGCTCAGGTCGACGCAGGAGGAAGATATGAGGAAAGGCAGATATGAGTTACTGTTCATTTATTAAATAAATAAATGAATAATTTAGCTAATAATAATATATTAATAATAATAATATATGCCCGTCGTGCAGAAAATCCTGATCTTCTGAATTTCTGATCACTTCCTTAGGAGAAATGTTTCCTAACTACCAAACGCTGCTGAAGTGGAAGTGAAGATATGAGGTAAGGCTTTATTATGAGTTATTGTTCATCTGTTAAATAAATTAATGAATAATTTAGCCTGTATGCTCGTCGTGCAAGTTCATTATTAAAATAGGAATGAAAAAAGCGATTAGAAAATATGCAAATTAATTGACGGTCAGTAATAGGTTATGACGGAATTTTTACAAACCTCTCCGTCAAAATGACGGACAATGAGAAAGTCTAATGTGACCTCTGATATATAGATACATATATATATATATATATATATATATTCCCTTATAGTGCATGTGTTTGGACTGAGGGGGAAACCAGAGCACAAAGATGTTATGTTGAAGGGTGGCACAGTGGATAGCACTGATGACTCACAGCAAGAAGGTTCGAGTCATGGCTGGGTCAGTTGGTGTTTCTGTGTGGAGTTTGCATGTTCTCCCAGTGCTGCCATTGGTTTCCTCCAGGTGCTCCGGTTTCCCCCACAGTCCAAGCACATGCGCTATATGGGAATTGAGTAAGCTAAAATTGTCCGTAGTGTATGAGTGTGTATGGGTGTTCTGCTGTGTGAAACATATGCTGGATAAGTTGGTGGTTCATTCCGCTGTGGAGAGCCTCGAATAGTAAAGGGAATAAGCCGAAAAGAAAATGAATGAATGAATGAAATTGAAGACACCCTGAATAAATGTATCTGATATATAAATATAATGCAAGGTGAAAGCTCTGTTGACATCTGCACATCCACACGCAGTAAAGCGCTCTGCATCAGCAGTTTCACACTCAGACGATGTCACAGATGCGACTTTATTTCAGAAAAAAACCCTCCTGGACTCCGTCAGTCAGTGTGAATGAGTCTGCTGAGTCGGCGGAGATGTCAGCGCTGGTTCAACATCGCCCAGAGCAGACCGTCGGTTCAACCCCACTGTAATGACAGCAGGCAGGACCACAGAGTTCAAGCGCAGACAATAAACCCTCACTGAGAGAAACTGCTCTACTGTGGTGAATCTCAGCGCTGTGGACATGGAGGAACCGCGGAGAATCAACTAGGAGGAAACCAGCAACGCTTGCTTTTTTTGCACCGCATCAACTCACATGTCATTTTAGCTAGCGGTCAATTTATTTGGGTTTCTCAGTGACTGATGCCGATTACTTTTGCTGTTTATTTACCAACACATTTCTAAACGTAAAAGTATTTAGCTGAAAGTGACATTTAAAGGCCTCACTAGGGTAATTAGTGTAAAGTTAGGGTGATTAGGCAAGTCATTGTATAACAGTGGTTTGTTCTGGAGACAATCCAAAACTAATATTGCTTAAGAATTGCTTTTATTCTAGTAGAAATAAAACATGCCTATGCAAACACATGCCTCCCATTAGTGCTGATATACAGCTATATTGCACTGCTACGAGTGTGATATTGCGTTTAAACAACAGTTTAACGGCACAATCGTGCATATAAATATGAAAATCAAACACAGAGAGTCTAATAACCCCTTTTTATTAGGAACTACTTTCTTCCACCATTCATTCACATCTGCAGCTGACGTTAGAACCATAGACTGTAAAATATATGGACGTAGTATCCGTGACGTCACTCATAGGTTTCTGAAGAGCACAAAAGAAGCCACAAGTAGGCGTGGCCAACCGTGACCATTTTGTTCGCGCATCATCACACCCACGGCGGGATACCAAACAAGGGCAAAGAGGCGGAGAGTGGGCGGAGCTACAGACACCTGCTGGCATTTAGCTTGGACCTGGCTCAGACACACTTTACTTTGGGAGAAACGCTTAATACTTTATCATCTGCGACTCGTTTGTGTTCTGACCACTTGTGCTTGGTTGTACACTATATCAGTGGTTCTCAAAGTGGGGGTCGAGACCCCCTGAGGGGTCGCGGTGCAATGAAGAGGGGGTCGCCTAGTGATTTCCAAAAATCTATTTATTTTTATTAAACCATAAGAATTAACATATTTTATCCATAACTATATTGAAAATAAAAATAGTCGTTTATAGTTACTATATACTATATAATTACTATAGTAGCTTATAGTTACTAGTTCTATTGAATTGCGACCCCTGGGGTTATGACATTATATTAAAGGCAGCAATAGCGACAGATGCATTTTGATTTTATAACATCAGGTTATACTTTCTGGCACATTTAAAGCACTGACACAAATTTAATTGGTGTGTCTGCGTCATTGCATGCAAGGTTTCTGTATTTATAACCACCTCCGAGAATATTGGGGGTCGCGAGTCACTGGAATTGTTATTTTGGGGGTCGCGGGCTGAAAAGTTTGGAAACCCCTGCACTATATCAATAAAGTGTTTAGTCTTTTAAAAACACTGCTGTAACACACTGAGCCACTAAACATTGTTCTTATGACGTTTTTCAACAGGAGGAAAACGCGAATTACTTCCAAACACTTCAGATATAGTCTGTGTTAGTAAATGCAGGACTATTGATGAAATCCAGCATAACACTGTATGACAACACTTCAGATGACTGATCTAGAGCCCACAGCTAATCAATCTGACAGATTCTGGAGTGCATTACAGCTCTAAATATAAATATAAACGATAAATGATCTTAAATAAAACAAATACATGTATAGAGATGGTATATAAGTATAGAACTTTACTCACATGGGAAACGGAGGCCATGTGAATGGTTTGTGAGCACAATTAAGTGCACTCAGCATGCCATGCCATCTAATAATTGTAGGAAACAAGTCCAAAAGGCAACTGACTGTGTAAAGCCACATAAAACAACACAGAAATACGATAAATATGCCGAGTTCAGTGGCTAATCTGCAGGATTCAGCTGAGGTGACGTGACGGCGACCAACGAGACCTAGCTGTCAATCAAGTGGCCACGCCCTTAATTATGCAAACTTAATATCACTTAATATAAAGGAAACGGATGAGTTATAAAAATATTCGCCCCCTCACAGTTGTCATGAAGGGTAATATTAGCTGTATTAACCAAAATCTTTGCTTGTGTCAGGCTGTAAACACCTTTTTTCTGCTGTAAAGTTGGCCATTCTAACAGTGGGCTCAATTGAAATTTGCTCTGTTTTGGAGCAGGAGCGGCCAGGACTAGCGGAATTTCAGATGAATTGCAGTTTTAGTTACTTCCGTATTGGCTTCCTGAGGGAGAGCGGGAGGTTGTCACTTGGTCAGAACAGCAGAAGCTGTTACTAATTCACCCATGTCACTGTAGAGCTAGTGTTTGAATGACTCTGCCTAAAGCGATGATAAAACTGCTGATTTTGCTCACACTTTAAGATTATAAGGCTGAACGTGATATGAAATGCCATCCATCTACAGAGATATCTTCTTACAGCGTTACAGTTTACAGTATTTCTCTGTTGCAATTGCGATATCACAATAATTAACCCTGAAAATAACAACGAGTTCACTAACGTCACCAGACTGCTGTTGTGTTTGTGATAAGAACTATTTTACATTTTTTAAAAATGGGCATATAATAGGTCTGATTTCAAGATGAATGCTCTTACCCAGAACCCCCGGGGCGAGCAGCGGCGATAGGAAGTGATGCGTCTGGCTGTTCTTGTCCTGCTCCGCCAGCGGGTCACAAACTTCTGGCCCCGCCGACACCAGAGGGCCGCAGGACACCGAGGTAGAAACTAGAGCAGGGCTGGACAGAGTCCCCTACAGCCACACACACACACACATTATTGCACAAACACAACATAACACACAAAACAACCATGAACAACTACGCATTATGCAAGCGTGATTTTACATCTGCCTCAGTTCAGTTAAAACACACCAGAGTTGGTTTGTCTCCTTAGCTTGGTTGGTTTAGGCAGGTGTAAAAGCAACGATCATTTTTTGATGCGCACCAAAACAAATGTACCGAGACCTGCTGGAAATTGTGGTCTTGCTATGCTTTCAAACAAACCCTGGAACATTTTGTTTGTTGTAAGAACGTAAAAAGACCCAGGTGCAAAAAATACTTCATGTTTTTGGACTAAACCAGCTGCCGTAGTGCTCTAGGCTGGTTCTAGGCCAGTTTTAAATAGCAGACGACAAACCTGGTTCGGCTAGATCACCGTCTGCTGTCAAAAACTAAGCTCAGACTCCATTTAAGGAGAACTGTACTTTGGAAAACTAAGTTTCTGAAATTATTTTTCCTCACAGCTCTAGTTAGGAGTTCAATAATGCTCATAAAATTAATGCCACATTGGAAAGAATTTTTCAAATCATTAATTAATCATTTGACCTTTTTATGTAATTAACCTTATCATTAAAATTGCACAAATCCCCTGCAATTCCACCATTAACCTCTAGGTAGGGCTGTGCAATTAATCGAAAATCCGATTTCGATTTTGGCTTTTAACGATTATGAAAAGCCATTAATCGAGATAAACGATTATTCCATCGCGTACCGCCCCTTTCCAGTTGTACACGTGTGAAAACTCTTTGCCTCTGCAAAGCTCAGTTCCACGTGACAATGGCTAAAAGCATGTGCTGTAGTGTAACTTTTGTAGCACGAGATGCGCATCATTTATATTTTTAAAAGCGCGAAAGAGCACGTGCTGTTGTGTGTGTGTGCGCCGTGCTTTGCCTCGGACAGGTAGCGTGTGTGTGTTTGCGCGCACGCCGCGCTTAGCCTCGGACAGCAGAGCACACACACATCTAACGCGATCTTAATGTGAGCGCTTTAATGGTCAAATACATGCACACTTGTGTCTGAGCGCGGTGTTTAGTGATTATTCATATTAACCCTCATTTGTTTAATATATAAACAAGTTGAGAATCAAAAGACACGAGAAAGAGAAACCATATCAGAGCCGCACTATTCTTAAAGTGACAGTGTGCGGTATTCCTGCTGCTGCCGACTGTTTTCATTATTAATCAATAAAATCCAAAATACAGTGAAGATGCTGAAAGCACAGTTTAAACATGACAGATTTAATAACTCATTTCTAATAACTGATTTCTTTTATCTTTGCTATGATGACAGCACATTATATTTTAGATGTTTTTTAAGATACTCAGCCTAAAGTGACATTCAAAGGCTTAATTAGGGTAAATAGACAAGCCATTGTATAACAGTAGTTTCTTCTGCAGACAATCAAACATATATATTGCTTAAAGGTGCTAATAATATCAAGCTATTAAATTAGGTTTCAAAATATTCAATCGTGCTTTTATTATAGCTGAAATAAAACAAATAAGCCTTCCTCCAGAAGAAAAAATATTATAGGAAATACTGTAAAAAAACCCTCTGTTAAACATCATTTGGGAAATATTTATATATAAAAATAAATTTACAGGAGGGCGAATAATTTTGACTTCAACTGATAATCGTTTTGAATAATCGTGATTTCAATTATGACCAAAATAATCGTGATTATGATTTTCCCATAATCGAGCAGCCCTACCTCTAGGGTTTAACCCATGTGTGTTCTTCAGATTGACTTCCCTTTGGTTATGTTAGTGACTGTTTTTGCCCCCTTGACTTCCATTATAAGCACATTTATTGATTGATATGACAGCATATAATCATGCATTCTTCATTGTTGCTGGTTTTCCCTGTTGGGATTTTAAGGTAAAACGTGTTATTTTTACTGTTGATCATCAGTTGTCAGCATTAACCCTTTAGATCGGCCTGTGCAAAAGTTTCTGGCTTTTATATAGAGCTCAGTGGTGTTAAACCGCAGATTATAGTGTGTGCGCAGAAATACACTTAGGGTGCTAGTTAGTAATGCACATTTATACACAAGTATTTCTGTGTATAAAGCACCCGTATCGTACCAGTCAGTGGAAACGGGCCTTAAGACTGAATTTGCACACACTTGACAAATAGTCGCAGGCCCTGATTGGGCCAGTAACGATCCTGTCTACTGTTCTGAAAGCCCCGGGCCACCAGGCAGTCCTTATTATTGAGGCCTGATATAGAAGGCAGAAACTAAGCTTTACTGCACTGCACCTGATGATCAACAGTAAAAATTAAACATTGTTCCTCTTGCCTAAAGAAAAACCAGCAACAATCCAGAATGCATGATTATCTGCTGTCATGGATTTGCAATCAAAATCTGATTATAATGAAAGTCAATGGGGCAAAAACAGCACCAACATAGCCAATGGGTAATACATTTGCCCAGAGTATATTATTGAATTTTTTTTAAATTTCAAAGCATTTTCCCAAAATATGTGTCCAAATAAGATTAGTTACCAAAAATCCTCCCATTTGCTGAAACAGAGAGAAATATGTGGCCAAATAAAGACTCAAAATCAGCCCAAAGTGGATGAAATGACACAACAGCTCACAAGAGTTTAAGGTTATATCCAGTTGGGAAACCTCATCACAGTAGAAGCATGCAGACTATGAGCACACACAGCGGGAGCATGCATTTAGTGTTTGGCAGTGCGAATACCTGAGAATGCGGCGGGGGGGATGGCGTGTGGTTGGGTAGGGGTTCGGTCTGTGCGAGAGCTGCGGCCAGCAGAGCGGGATTGAGGGACAGGAATGCGGGTGGAGGAGCAGCGAGAGGGGCAGAAAGCAGCAGCGACTGGCCGTCTGCACCCGGGGCAAGAGTCTGAAGAGCCTCCAGAAGCCCCGGCCCCATCAGCACAGAGTCCAGCAGAGCAGGTGGCTTTTCCAAAGACACCCCGTCCGCAAACACCTGCTGCGGCGGCGTAGGAAGCTCCAGATTGAGCGCCGGTAATGGCAACATGGCTGCCGGATTCTGTCCGAGAAGCAAAGAAGCCATTAGGAGAGCTTGAAGCCCTGGGGGCTTTTCTCCAGTTTCCACCCCTGCCACCGGGGGCAGCGCTGCAGCCGATCCTGCAGGATTTAACAGGCTCAGGAGATTAAGAGGGAGCTCGGCTTGGTTGAGAAGGTTAAGAGGAGATCCCTGGTTCCCAATGGGTGGATGCTGAGATTGATTGCTGCCTGGCGTCGAGGGTTGACTGCCCGTCCAGAGGCCGAGAGGTAGGGAGCCTAGGAAGGGCGGCAGAAGGGAAGGCAGGCCAGCATTGGAGGACAGAAGCTGGAGGAGCTGTTCTTGGGTCATGAAGGGAAAAGCCTCGGCCAGCGGGAGGGAGATAGCAGGGTCTGTGGCTGGGTTGGTAAGGTCAGAAGTTGGGGCAGTGGATAACGAGAGGCCGTGGTCGGGCTCACAGCCAGCCAGCAATCGTGTGTCTGAGTCTATCGTCTCTACAGGACCTGCAAAAAACAAATAAATAAAGTGTAAATAAAGCACCAAATACTAAAAGCTGTAGTGCAGAATTCACAAGATATTCCAGTGTTAAGTGTTAAAGTCACATTATTATTGTCTTTCTTTTCTTGTACATCCCTTTAAAACCTGTTCATCTTTATTTTTTGTTTTTATTTTATTATCTAAATAAATGTGCTCTGCCTCAAGTGCTCGATCAAGCCAAAAACAATCTAATAAGTAGAAAGAATCAGCCCACAGCCACTTTAGCTCTCAAAAGACCATTTAACTGGTCAGCGCAGTGCTTCCCACAGGTTTGAAATATACCTGCGGTGGTAGCCGGATTGAAATACACCATTTACCCACATCACATAAATAGTTAATAATATGCCACAAACAAAATATAATTGTGTTAAATTGAATTAGGATAATTTTATTTTATCAATAATTTTATCAGGGCTTAACATTAACTTTTTTGATAACCGGCCACTGTGGCTAGTAGTTTTCCTACATTGCTAACCACTCGTCATTTTCACTAGCCACACTTTTATAGGGAAAATTATATAAAATATTATATAAAATATTTAATTATATTAAAATATTGTAGGGAAAATATATTTTATGCACATAAAAATGACTTTGAAATGCTAAAATTACTTGATTTAGAGTTTGCGTTATCTCCACCTGCCTCCTCATTTATTTCACTTTTTGCGTTTCGTGTATGAGCTCAATAATCCTGAGCAAATGGGTCAGGGTTTCATAATTACAATTAGTTTATTTCATATAATTTTCAGAGCTCAAAATGAAGGATTTACCCAATTTATCTCTGACCAGACCAAACATAAACAATTAATTACTTTTTTATTGTTTTATTCTTTTCTTTAATTCATTAAATAATGCAAAAAAATGTAAAAGTGTCAAAACAAGCTGAATATAGCTGTATACTATACTTTTTATTTAACAAAACATATGCACAGTAATCTGTCCTGGCTAAAGGTCCCAGATCACCAGTTAACCACACATAAATGGGGAGTTAATTTTGTGAATCTTGTTATTATTTAATAATGTTATTGTAAAAAATGATAATTAAACCATATTAATGCAAAAGGAAGCAAGTAAAAAAACATACCGTGTGATAATGAAAGGATGATCACACAAACGGGTAATGTTAGACCCATAAATTATCTGTTATTGTAAGCAACTGGCGCTGCTTACAATAAGTCAACTCTGGAAATCTTGAAAGCAGCAAGACTGTGGATGCATGTTCATCAATTTTTGTCTAGTCTATTTGAAAGAGAACCGATCGCATCAGTTGTGTTTTTAGACAGTTGCTTCACGAAAGGAAACGGGAGCGAACACGCGTTATAAACAGTCGCGCGCATCACCTCAACTGTTAGCGCTAATGATTATCCTCTCATTTGGTATTCACCTGCTTTGCTCGCACGAAGTTGCGAACGCAATTATTTTTGTTAGTTGTGTTGCTTCTCAATTCTTAGATCGCCTTTGCATGCATATTGGACCATCGTTATTGTCGAACCCTGCTTTTAAGAATTATTATCTGGAAAAATTATTTTCAACCAGCCAAAGTGGCTAGTGGGAGTGTCTGTCTTACCCGCCACCGCCGAAATCCACCCGCATTTGGCGGGTGTTAATGTAAAGCCCTGAATTTTATTATTGACACCGTTTTACATGTTTTTTACCAACTCTTAAGATTTTGTAAATCCATCCCCAGATATGGTAATACCACAAAAACAGAGGATAAACAGTCTTACCTTTATCTTCCACATCTGGACTGTGGTTTGGCTGGTTAATCTGATAGGTGCTGTGCTCAGGATAAGCCTCGGTCATTTTGGACCCACAAACTTTCTCCGCAAACGTGGGCAAGCAGGAGTTTGAGGACATCTGGTTGATCATGGATATAATTGAACCGCTGAGGTCTGGCGTGGTGGTGCCCACGTGGGGCTGGCTCAGGTTCAGGATGGTGTTGCTGGAGGCGGCTTTGAGGTTTGCTGTTGTCTCGTCACCCATTATCGGAAACGCTTGGGATGCCGGCTGCTGGGGGTCTAGAGTAGGGGTTGTGCTTTGGGGTTGTGGGTTGTGTATGCGTAACACAGACTGCCCGTCACCTTGGGGCGTCAGTGGAGTGATGGGTCTGGGGGATGTGTTTGCGTGCATGTTACCCGGCTTGGCACCAATGCACTGCTGATTTGCGTTCTGCATGCTAAGAAGGTGAAGCAGGGCGGAGAGGGGTTGGGATGGAGATGCGGAAGGAAGCGAATTAGCAATCCCCGGCTTCTTGCATTCCTCCGAATCCTGCAATCTGCAATTCGGAGGATTGACAGGCAGCCGGAGGTTGTCGGAGCTGTTGTGTACGGGAGGAGAAGAGCATGGAGGGATGAGCTGAGGTGGTGAGGATAGATCTAAAACAGTACGACCCAACTGCGTGTCTTTCAGCATGCTCAAAACGGTGGGCGACCGCCTCTGCCGTTTGCGCCGCAAGTTTTTCTCGGAGGGGGAAGCAGGGGAGTGCGGGAGCAAGAGGGCGGTCAGGGCTTGCGGTCTGGAGGAAGTGTTGTGGACGCTACTGTTTAAAGTGCTAATCAATACCTTTGACTGCTGCTCCTTGTCCAGGCCTGCAAGCGGGAGTGCGGACAGCCCTTCTGTTTTCTGATTGGCCAACTGTGCTTTAGCAGCCGCCGATAAAAGGCTGCTAGCAGGGAAAGAGTTATTAATGTGGCTCTTTTGCTTCTGATTGAGAATCTGTCCGAGCATCGCTCCGTTCCTTTTGTCACTTGCATTGGGAAGAGCCACTAATGACGCCTGATGGATGCTTTGGTTAGCACTGGTGCTAATGCTTGAGGACGTACTGCAATCTTTGTAGTGCTGCAGAATGCCCTCCAGGCGACTACACGGACTCAAGGGTGCATTGGGAAGCTTGGGAGAAGAGCAAGGCATTGTGGGATGCAGAGGTTTGGCTCCCTGGATGAAGATTTGATGATCGGATAGTGAAGATGTGGAGGAGTGTCGAGAACGCTGGTGCGGTGAGAATGAGTCCCGTGTGCGAGACGGCGAAAGAGGAGACGGAGACTTAACACTCGCCCCCTGGGACATCGGTGGAATAGTTCGATTGCTTAAAGATGATGAAAATGAGAATGAGTTTATGGAGTCTGGAGGATGCGCTTGCGTTGGTTTTACATTGTTTGGAGATGTTGGGTTGTGTGCTGTTCTTTGGGGGGTGTTCTGAATGAGCGGCGGGTGAGGGCTCCACTGCTGCTTTGCGTAAACAGGCGCCTGGGACTTCTTTAGAGGTGAACCCTGATCTGGAGGTCGTGAAATCGGGGAGAGATTAACAGAGCCGTTCTGCAGAACAGAGCGAGAGGAGGACAGAGGAAAGCCCATGTTGGGTTTGGGCTGGCTGTGTCTGGGCTGAGGGTAAGTGCAGTGGGCTCCGTCTCCATGTGTTAGCATTGATCCTCTCGACTCTCTGCCGTCCACTGAGCATACAACACCTCCTTAAACACACAAGCACACAACACAGCTCACCTTCTGCTGATGATTGACAAACTACCTATAGCAGTGGTTCTCGAGCACATTCCTGGGGGACCACCAGCACTGCACGTTTTGCATGTCTCCTTTGTCTGTTACACGCTTGCAGTCTCTGCTAATAAGCAGATGATCTGAATCAGGTGCGTTTGCTTGAGGAGACAGTGGCTGTTTCTCAATTCCATGAGCGCAGAGAACGGACTTGCATTCTCATGGAGATCGTTCTTGCCAGGTCACCTCGGAAGACTCAGGAGACCGCGAGAACAGCGAGACACGAAATGCTGTGTTCTTTCTGATGGTCACATGACCTTTATGCGTTTTTAATAGACGATTATTTAAACATACAACGATTTATTGTTTTCATCCTTTTCAATATACACAACATGCACAAAAGGCTTACTAATAGACATTGCTCAACACACAACACAGATTTTAATATTTATTTCAGCAACGAACTCCTATAATGTGTCTATAGGGTATATGCCGAAGCATGCTAATGGGACTTTTAGGGTGCTTTCATATCTGTAGTTCGCTTCATTTGGTCCGGACCAAGGGCAATAAATGATACATTGTTGCATTTTCTGCCGTCTTTGGGTCGTTTTCACACCACACTGCTGGATTTGGTCCGAACCAGTTAAAACGAACCAAAATGCAGTCATGTGACAAAATCCACATCTCTCATAGGCCAGATGTTGTTAAACATATTTCCTAAACTGGTTATTGATTGGTCAGAATTCACGTGCGGGAAAATGCCAGTGAACTCCCGCAGGTAAACAAAACTTTTTACTCTGGAGGGACGACTGCGCTGGCTGATTGTATCCCTGCCTTAGACAAACTATACATTACGAAAATGAAGCGCGGCCGCGGCTGGAAAACAGTGTTTAATGCATCGCTCGTCACTTCAGGAGGAGGCGTGAATTAATTTAGCTAAACTGCGACATGCTCATCTTGCGGAAATATTACCAACGGTCCATCAGGTAATGTTTTCCCCTCTCTCTCTCTCTCTCTTGGTAAAGCGCTGTCAACAATATTTTTCCTCCATATCCCATAATGCACAGCGCATTGGCCTACAGCAGCTGCATTAGTCCAAAAGGCGCAGTACTTTTTGCGGTTGGACCTGTTTTAGTACGAATCATATTCTCACCACAAACAAACCACTCCAGGGTTTGTTTGAAAGCGTACAGAGACCACCTCTTCAAGCAGGTCTTGGTACGCTTATTTGGTCCGCTTTTGGTGCGCACTCGAGTACGATTGCTGCATTCACACCTGCCCAAACCAACCGCACCAAAAGGAAAAACGAACTCTAGTGTGATTCAATCCAACTAAATAAGGCAGGTGTGAAAGCACCCTTAAAACCGGCGCATTTAAGGGCTGTTTTCTTTCAAAATCAGCGATCTTCACTGGCTGAGTGATCTCTGATATAAAGTGGGTCTCAGATTGTACAAGAAGCACTGCATTACATTACATTTCCCCCACCATGTCTTTATAATATGGCCATTTATTTTACCCCAGTATATTCAGTGGAGCTTCTGCGCTAGCCTGCCGATTCTGACGGGCGTGTACGAGTAAACGGCTTTTTGTCTCGTTTTATGCTTGAGCAACTAAATGAATGCCAAATTTTATTTAACTGGATGTATTTTAATGATATTACAAAATCGATGCTGTAAAAGGAACCATATAAAATGGAAAAAAACTCACAATAATAGGTCACTGGAAGTTTATCAGTATGGGAAACACACTAGCTCGGCATATACCCCATTGCGATTTTCATTTAAATGTTTACTTTTACCATCTCATTTAGGAAAATACCTGCGCTTCCCACCTGCTTTATTTAGCTGCAAAGACTTTTTCAGCGAGTTTAGTGCTCAAGTCTACATCGGTTCATCTCCGATATCAAGAACGCATCCAGGTTCTGTCACGCGTCTTCCGTTCTTGCTGTCTTGAGTTTTGGAACTGAACTTTGGCAGTTGATGATGACGTTACACGAGAACACGAAGACGCAAGATCACTGAAGAATGCATATTGAGAAACAGCCATTATGCAGTGCTGGTGGTCCTCCAGGAACACAACTGAGAACCACTGACCTACAGGACACACTTCTTCCTCTCCTATGCACCATGCACTTTGTTAGAAACTCTATGTTTCTGTTTGTACAGATATCTCTTTCATATTTTCATACTTTGTCCATTTTTTTCTACAGCCACATACTCTATATCAAAAGTCTTTAACTTGTTTATATTTGCTATTGCATTTTTAAGTCTCCAAAATTTAGATTCGTATTGTTATTGCTTTAGTTACTGTTGTTATTATTGTACGGTCACAAGTGGGTATCTAAGCATTTCACTGCATATCATACTGTGTATGACTCTGTATGTGGCAAAAAAATAGATTTTTTGGAAGGGAGTTTGATACACAGGGCAACTTTTTAAGCAATGTTGCTGGGCAACTTTAAGAAATGATCCCATAAATGGGCAACCAGGGGTCCGTTCTTCACACATTGCTTTAATGATCTGTGATGATTTGGCAGATCCTAGATCTGTTCATCTTGATAACTGATCTCTGGCTAATTTGGTTCTTTGGAACCAAATATATGGTAGTAATATATATGGTAGTATTGTAGTAGCTGTTTTTTAATCGGTGTAAATAATAACTGGGTGTTTTACAAAAAGCATTTTGATATTGGTAAAGGCGTGCGCAATTTTTGTGAAGCACATATATATTATACATATATATATATATATTATACATACATATATATATATATATATATATATATATATATATATATATATATATATATATATATATATATATATATATATATATATATATATATATATATATATATATATATATAGTTAAAAAACATTTACTATTTTCCCAAGTGTATATAACTACTACTGTAAGAAAATATCAGAATTCGGTACATACTTTCTCTGTTATCTTTGCTTGAACTGAGCCGATCTAATCCTGTTTATATGATTTGAACCTGCTTCCGACCAGGTTTCAGCTAGCAGAACTGTTGCTATGACAACAACTCTCGGATCAGTTTTGAAGAACTAAATGATCCTGGATCGTGTCAAATCGTCAATAACCAAATCCAGCTAACGGAGTAATCCACGTACGAAAAATGGACCCCTGATCTAATTCTGTTTATATGGAATAAGCTGCTGCTTCTGAGCAGGTTTGAGCTAGCAGAACTGTTGCTATGACAAGTCTCAGATGAGTTTTGAAAAACGAAACGATCCTGGATCATGTCCAATCATCAATAACCAAATCCACCTAATTGAGTAATCCACGTATGAAGAATGGACTCCAGGTAAGGGTAACTAATTAGGGCAATGGGATACAGATACATTATTGTTGCCCATTCTTAATGGAAAAGCAACCTAACAACATTGCAATGCAAAATTGTCCGGCATTGCTTTAACGTTTCCCTGTGTATCAATTAGCATTACTGACGAATGCTCGAAATACAGTGCCTATAGACCATTTCAATGTGGAGGTGCACGTTGAATATTTCCTGTTTATTGTCAAACTCTTTCATAACTGTCAAAAAAAGACAATCAATCCAATCAGAACTTTGTTAAAACAGCTATCATAACATTATCAATATGTCAAGATTTTTTAAATCCTGAAAGCTATTTAATTAATGTATAACAGGAAATATGTTAGGACCATTGTTATCATTTACATCCCTCGAAATGGTCTAAAAAGAGCATTTACTCTATTAGAAATGCTTGTTTTACATTTTAACACTGAACAACAGTGGATATAAGGATTGCACAATACATCACAAAAGTATGTGTATTATATACATTGATTATGTATACGTGATATACACACATAGAAAATTAACAATTTTGTTACATGGATTTTTTTCTAATTTGTATCATATACATAATGCACACCTACATATAAACATTTCATCAAATATATGCTGTGTAAAAGCATGTAAAGATGCAATACCTGTGGCTTGAGCCAGTGGTGCGAGATGTGAGGGATGCATGCTTTGACATAACGCTGTCATAGCGTCTACTTTCCTGCGATGGTTGCAGAGTTTGGTCATGTCTTCCTCTACTTTACCCGACTGATGACCAGGAGCTTGGACCATTGCAGCAGGGTCAAAATTAAAGACCTGCATTGATTTAAAGAGACCATTTACTTTATATTCAGAACTGCAAACTACTCTTCCTTTTGTAAAATGGATTGCTTTATCACAGTACACAGTAAATATTGTGCTATATGCATACAGCCAGCTAAATTTACCCTTGTAGTTGCAATGCTGTCAGATTTACAGTGTAATAAAAGGTTACACTTAAAAATAATGGTCTATTAGCTAACGTTAATGCATTTACTAACATTACGTGTGAATAATCTTGTAACGCATTTATTAATCATAGTTCAGCATTTACTAATGCATTATTACAATCCAAAGCTGTGCTTGTTAACATTAGTTAATGCACAGTGACTTACATTATTTAACATGAATAAAAAAGGATAAATAGCGTAATAAATGTATAACTATATGTTTGTTCATGGTAGTAAATACATTAACTATTGTGAACTAATAAGTGTTACCAATAAAAACAGTAGTTATTGCATGCAAGTCTTCTTCAGTGGATCATCTCTTCACTATTGGATGATAATAACAAAATAAAATGTGCAAAACATCAACAACATTTGACAGTTTATCTTACCTTATTTGGGACAAGCGGGCACTCGAGACCACACTTACATGTGCCGTCTGTGCGCAGATACACCCTCACCTCATCCACAGATTGAAGGACTGTACCACTCGGGCTGGGGAAGAAAAATAAACATGTTTAACACATATTAACAGATTAATACCTGATGTGGTTGTGATTACTTGATTGTTTTGTGAATACCTGTCACAATAACTAATATATTACTATATCGACTTATTGTACAACACATGGACATGTCCTCCAGCATTTTTGGTGATGCGATATATATCGCCCATACATAAGTTATTCTAGCAACATTTGAGAAGATCTCTATCTCTGCTGGAGGTGTCAGTGTCAGTATGGTTAGAAAAACATTATAGTAGAGAGAGAGAGACGATTCTGTCAGTCAGGCCCGGTTTGGCCAATTGGGAGGAACAGAAGAGTTCCCGGTGTCCGTTTTTTGGCCTGCGAGGGCCGGTGTTTCTAGCTGCTTGCACTCTCAGTACACTTTTTTTTCATTTATTTATTTATTTGACCATAGCCTCACTCTTTTTATTCATTATTTAGCCGCAGCTCCGCTCTCCTTATTTATTGTCTCGCAGCCCCATGAGCAAAATGCAGCCTGCAGGGTAATGATGATGTAATTATCATTCCGACCACACAGGCGTAACAGCGCCATTTTGGTCCAGTGGTCAGCACGTTGCGTCGTCGATCCATGTTCGATCTTCACTCAAGGTTTTTTTTTTTTTATTATTGTTAAGACACTCTGACCGTCAGCTGTTAACACAGGGAAGGCGAGAGCCACGTGTCTCTGAATGAACTAATGAAGTTGACTTTAGTGAACAGAACCTGCATATGCTGTGAATAACAGGTAATAAAGTTGTAAATAACATTTAGTTTGTGGCACAGAGTGATCGTTTAGGAGCCGCGCAGGAAGTGAACCGCTTTTAATGCTGCGTTCACACCAGACACGGAACGCTCATCAAGCGCGAGTGATTTACATGTTAAGTCAATGCAAACGCACGAATAGACATCCTGCGGCGCGATAAGCGCGAATGGCGCCGTGCGAATGCGTTCTGCGCGTTTGACGCACGTTTTGCACGAATCACTCGAGTTCCAAAATCTGTACTTCAGTGGACATTTGCACCTCGTTAACCAATCAGGAGCTTGCTCTTGTGGGGGCGTGATTGTGCCGTATCGCCCGTTCATCCAACTGGGCTGGGCTCAGTCAGAAGCACCGCTGAAAGCCTCCGTCATCCAGGTTCAGTTTCTGGAGGAGTTTATGAGCTCAGAGCTGGATGCACCTCTGAAAGGATTTAGTGGACTCAGACACGACCCTAAACGTATCGGCGCTGTTTTTCAGCCTTCATAAAGCACATAAACACTGTTTCTTCATAAAATCCATGTTAGCCGTTTAGCTAAGAAGCTAGAGTCACCGGGCAGACAGAAGCCCTGCCCATCACACGATTCCGCGTCTGTTCTGAAGTGAATTAGACGCGCGAATGAAGCGGGGTTTGATGCGCCAATGAAGCGAGTAAACTAAAAAATTCACGCGGCTATTTACGCGCGAATATCGCGATTTATCCACGCGTTCTGCCTCTGGTGTGAACGCAGCATAACAGTGAAAATGAAACCGAAAGCGCACACAGTGTTGCCAGACGTAGCTGACTGATTCCAGCCCAAAAAGTACCCAAAACCCGCCGAAATGCAAAAATACCCGCCCAGTCGTCCGTATTCACGAAAATCACGTCAGAGACAGATTTTAAGAGGAAATGACAGCTGTAAGCCAATGTCTCAAACACAATAATTCAACATCAGAATCAGCATTAATGACCAGGACAAATGTAAAGTCTGTTCAAGTCCACCATTCCAAGTCTATACAACATTTAGCATTTTAACCAACAGTAGAGCTCCACAAAGCCTATTGCTGTTTTACCACATGTTTGAGAATAACAATAATAATAGCCCACTCATATTAACCTTTATTTTACATCTACAGAATCATGGGAAAATCCTGATCTTTATTTTAGGCAAAAAAAAAAATTTGCGATTCTCATTTTGGCCAGAATCGTGCAGCTTTGCATTATAGTATTCACTATAAATGACTATAGGATATTTTCATGTGCATGTCTGACAGCTGAAAATAGCTGATCTGAAAGCAGATATCGCAGCCTCTGTTACTCTATAGTTAACAACTGTTATTAGTCATTTATTTAGGATATGCATATTCACATTCTGATTCCAATGCCTCATTATTAAACTATTAAAATGACTATAATTAAAAGAAATATTCCTAAGAATAAAATGTGATGTGTTCTTTGGAAGAGTGTACTTGCATTGTGATGGTATTATAATGGCTTACTGGCATTATATAATGAGTGGCATTAAATGACAATAATATTGTTCATTGCAATATATTTTGGTGCAATAAATTACACAAATAAATAAATAAATAGATGACATATTATCTGATAACTAAGAAATAATCCCCAAGGCTTCTGACTGTGTACAGCCACATAAAACTAAAGCAAAAACAAGGTATATATGCCGAGTTTAGCAGGGTGACATGACAGCAGACCTAGCGGTCACTCAAGTGAATGTGAAGTATGTAGAATTTTAAGGCTTCTGCGTGACTGTCTCCCAAATCCGCGCATGTGCTGAACATTTTGCAGTTAAAACTGGTCTCGCAACAATTTTATGCACTCGCACACATGCTCCCAAATTTAATTTGAGGTTGCATAGATAAAATATTAGGCGCATATGCGACCGAAATGGTCGCAATTTCGAGCCCTGCAAGTATACAGTACGCATGTATGTTTCCCATTACTGGGTTGTGGCTGGAAGGGCATCCGCTGCGTAAAACATATGCTGGTATAGTTGGCGGTTCATTCCACTGTGGCGACCCCTGATGAATAAAGATTAGGCCGAAGGAAAATGAATGAATGAATAAGACATAGACAAACCAATCACAACAGAAAGAAAAATCTCAACAAAACAATCAAAGAAACACAATAAAACAACTCCAATGGCAACATATTTTGTGTTCTTTGAAAGAAAGAGCTGCCATTATATAGGGAGCGACATAAAATGATCTTAAATTGACCCAAACCAAACCATCACAAAAGATTTTGGTGCAATAAATCACACAACAAAAAATAAATGTGGTGACAGACCGAGCATCTGCCCAACACCAGAAGCCCAAGTGTGAAAGCTAAGCACGCTCGCATGTGTGTGAGGAACGTTTGCTCGGGTGAAGTCACACACATCTGTGCATGATCATCGCTGCCAGGCAACTTGAGTGAAAAACGTTCCTGTTGTACCTTTATTTAGCAGCAACGGCGCTCACATTTCAAACACGTGAGAGTAAACAAAGCGCAGTCGAACCTGATGTAAGACACAGCTCCGTCCTCCACCTTCCTCCGCCAGCCGACCGGGACCTGAGCGATGAGCGTCGTTCCTCCATCTTTTTCTCCTGCTACACTCTCACTGCCCCCCGTCATTTTCTGATCACACACATCCAGCTCCTGAACACACACACACACACACACACACACACACACACACGGCAAAATTATTCACTCCTGTGAAATATTTATAATTTTTTTTATATTTTCCAAACAGATTCAGGAATTTTTCACAGTATTTCCTCTAATACTTTTTCTTCTGGAGAAAGTCTTATTTGTTTTATTTTGGCTAGAATAACCATTTTAAGGTCAATATTATTAGCCCCCTTCAGCATTATTAGTTTTGGATTATCTCCAGAACAAACCACTGTTGTACAATGACTTGCCTAATTAACCTAATTAAGCCTTTACATGTCATTTTAAGCTGTATAGAAGTGTCTTGAAAAATATATAGTCTAATATTATGTGCTGTCACAATGGCAAAGATAAAAAAAAAAATGAGTTATTAGAAATTAGTTATTAAAACTATTATGTTTAGAAATGTGTTGGAAAAAAATCTCAACGTTCAAGAGAAATTCGGAAAAAAAATATTAAATAATAAAAATATACAGGCTAATTTAACGGTTCGCACTACAGCTGTCAGTCCACTAAAACTTCAACCTGGAACTGAGTTCAGTTTACGTTCAGAAAATAGTACAGTTGTCTTTAAGTATAGACATTAAAACTAGAGTTGAGTTTATAGGCCGTACAGTTTGGTACGCTTTTATGGCCGTTTCCACTGTCAAAAGGCGCATTGAACCGTACCGTACCACTTTTTCGGCACCCTTTCGTAAGGGTACCAAACATGAGAAGGGGTACCAAAAGGCGGAGCTAGACGCGCAGCTGAACGCTATTGGTTTACAGAGATACGTCATTCACTTACGCAAACCGCTTAAAATAAACAGCCGAGAGATCTTTTACAGCGTAGATATATATATATATATATATATATATATATATATATATATATATATATATATATATATATATATATAAACATATACATATAATAACGAACCATGGTCGACCCGGGCTCAAACAAACCTTGTCACCGTCTTGATAAACAGCCACAAAGCCAAAAAGAACAGCAGATTTACCCTGCGCCCCTTAGTTTTTTGCGAGCCAGACTGAAGTGCGAGCGGTTTCGTTTTCTTGTGCTCGCCGCGTGTCTATATCTGAGTGAAAATGACTTCGACTGAAACTTTCTGTCATACACCACACCCACCAAAAGGGTACCCTTGATAGTGGAAACGCAAGCCTGGTAAAGGTGACCCGTAACGACCCGAATCGTACCATACTGGACCAGTCAGTGGAAACGAGCCATAATGTACTAAAACAGACTAATATTAAACTTTAACAGGCAAATAAATCAGTATTCTGTCACGCAAAAACCCCTGGGCTGCAAACCGGTACTAGTCTGTGGATTAATCAGCACCAGGTTGCACAAGAAATCATCAATTATTTCATTATTATTATTATTATTTATCGGAGTCTGAACAATCTTTTATATCGAAAAATGACCGTATTCACTCCATTACATCTTGATCACCTGAGCGCCAAAATTGAACCCACAACAACAAAATGAGTAAGAAACAGGCGTCTTTGGAACGTTTCTCTGCTAAGGGGAAAGGCCCAGTGAAGGACTAAATGAGAAAAGGTTGGGGAACACTGAATTTATACTACTATGGTGCAGTTGAATGCTTGATTCTGATTGGCTGATGAACATTCTAAAGTGTGCCGTTATTTTCAGATAAGTGTCTAGCTAAAGTAGTTCAGGCAGGTTTTGAGCGCATTACAGCTCCATGTCACTCCGCTGAATAATTGGAGTTGTTTGACAACTCCACAACTCACAACAGTCAAACTCCTGAGTATAAGTGCAATAATTGACCCTAGTCTGTTGTATTACTAGACAATAATTCCCCCTTGGGTGTGCATTATCTTCTAATAATTCAACTGATCAGGCTCAATTATTTATTTAATGAGTTTAACTGTAACTAATATTAACATTCTAATTTCCAATAACAACATAGCTATATCTCTCCGTTGATGCGAGTTAATGAATTCATATTTACTAATGGGTGTTCTTTTATTATTTTTGATATTACACTTGTCAGAGTAACCCTTTAAGCAACTTGTATAACATAACTTCATGATGCTACATATAATAACTGTGATTAAAGCTTCAGCAAAAAAAAGATACTTGGTATACTGTACTTATTTTTTCACATAGGAGCATACTAACATATAACTTAATTGTGTCCAGACAACATATCTCATTCACTTCTGATCATTTTTAACTGTACAAAACAGTTATATGACAATGTTTGATGCCGGAAACTGCGACTTTCTTAATAGATTATCTTGATTTTAATGTATTGCCATAAACATGATGGGTTTGTAGCCCTAGTAGTGATGGGTCGTTCATGAACGATTTGTTCTTTTTAAACGAATCTTCAATATGACTCGGGAACTACGAGTCCTCTCAGGGAGTGATTCGTTCATCCGCGCGTGCGCACATTTGTGCAGGTAGTATTGTTAATTTCAAGTCTTCATCACATTGGCAGAAGCCAATCATATGCGTTTAGAGCCGGAAAAAGAATTGATCCGCTCACCTCTCAAGTCCTCGATCGGGTCTGAGTCACTCGTTAATAACGAGCCAATCATACGTGTTTAGAGATGGAAAAAGTTTTTATCCATTCATCTCTCGGGTCCTCTATCGGGTCTGAGTCACTCCTTCATCACGGGCCAATCATACGCGTTTAGAGCCAGAAAAAGAATTGAACCGTTCATCTCTCGAGTCCTCGGGTTTGAGTCATTCTCTCACGTGATGAACGAACGATCATGGCTCCTATCGGCTTAGACTGTGCATTGATTAAGATTATATGTGACTGTAAGTGTTACGTGAATGAACCCCTGACATTTGAAGACATGAAGAGGTGAGCTGAGCAAAGAGACAACAATACCTTCATAGACAAAAGAGCAGGTCAACATTGAATTATTATTTTCTCCTTATATTCTACTTATGACTTATTTGTCGTGCAATCAACCTTTTGGGCTAGTTGTAGATGTGTTTGGAAGCAATTCGTAACATTTTAATAATATTTTGGCAAAGTGAACCAAATCAACGAAATGACTCGAAAAAAAATTCGTTCATCTTGATGAACGAGACTCAAAGATCCGAGTCAGTAAAATGATCGGAACTTCCCATCACTAAGCCCTAGTAATTGGACATTTACCCATAGTCAAATGTCACACCGGAAAAAGTTTACTTCTGCATCGCAAAATAAGGTAATTAAATAGTGTGTATGATATTGAGAAGCTCAGAAACGTGTGTTGACACATACCTTTTCATTTTTATACAGCCTTGGTCAGCACCGTTCGTGAAATGCACCCTTTGAAGGACATTTAGGCAGCATAAATGAAGGACAACAGGAGAGAACCACCAATCCGGCTCCACACACGATCCTCTCTGGTCCTCTCCAGTGGACTGTAATGCTGTGGTGCAAATCCAGAAGTGGAAAATCTGAAAAAGACATATAATAAAACACATTTAATTTGAGCAAGGCGATGCTTGAACAAACACTTTTATGCATCTTAGGCATAACTATAATAAACATGAGTCACATTAAAAATATGCCGATATTAAATGCATTTAAATGAACGTCATCCATAGAGTCATGCATTTAGTTGTCTTAAATACTCTGTCTGGTAAACAGTGATGCAGGATTAGGCTGTGGCTTGGTTTATAGCAGTCATTTTCTTTAAGGATTTGTACAAAACAAGCAACAAGAGAAAAAAAAAGATTCAGCAGGGTTCAACGCTAGGGACAACGCTAGTTGTAGGGATTTTTTCCTACTGGCTCGAACGGGCCAGTGGTTCAGATTTTTACTTGCTCTGCCAAAATTCTCTCTGGCCTCACCAAAAAAAGAAGTTAGCCATTTAGTTATTCAGCATTACTTTTCTTTAAATACAACTGACAATTTAAAAATGATTTAATTAAAATACAATACTGATTAGATTAATTAAAGTGAACGGTTTAGTTGAAAATGATTTTCGTTTGTTTAAAACCCACCAAAATGCCTGATTTCAGAAACCAGCACAATACATCAGTCTATAATACTGCCAATATTTTCATTTCTCATTTATTTGTAAACCTTAAAAATGCATTTCACTTATTGTTCTTGCTTGATCCACCAACATAATAATCATATTAGTCTACGTTTTAATCAATTATGACAGTGGTCACCAAACTTGTTCCTGGAGGGCCGGTGTCCAGCAGATTTTAGCTCCAACCCTAATCAAACACAGCTGAACAAGCTAATCAAGGCCTTACTAGGTATACTTGAAACAACCAGGCAGGTGTGTTGAGGCAAATTGGAGCTAAACCCTGGAGGGACACCGGCCCTCCAGGACCAAGATTGGTGACCCCTGAATTATGACCTTTGAGGTTTTTTTATTAAATGAAGAATAAGAATGCTAAAGAAAGTCTATGAAGAGGGTCCGTGCAGGGGGGCATTTCTCATCACAACACCGGGACTGCAGTCAGATCATGAAGCAAGGTTGATCTTTCTTTCGAGGTGTCGAAATGAACAAAACAATTAGCCTAATACAAAATATAAGATTAAAATATGGAAGCTTTATCAGATGGTCATTTCGGGCAATTTTTTTCGGTCAACGGATAAACCGCACTCGATAATATTTCATCAAGCTTTCAGTTTCATATTAGACATGAAACACACATTTGCTGGTAGAAATGACATCCAGCCCTATTTACCATTCTCTTCATATAGCCATATGTATGGCCATTACACAACCATAATACACTGTGATATAGGTAGGCCCACACGAAATCTGCGCGCGCAGAATTCCGCAGATTTTCCGCAGATTTTCAGCAGAATTCTGCAGTTTTTTAGCCCATTATAAATTCTGTTTATTTACTTGAGTAAATGTGTAAATCGGAATTTATTCAGTTTTTATTCAGTAATTTATTACTTTTTATTTAATATAATAAAGTGCAAGTTAAAATACTCCACTGGATACTCCCAAAATAATTCCGCAGAAATCCGCAGATTTTTACCAAAATTCTCCGCAGAAATAGCAAAAAACGTCCGCAGATTCTGTCTGGCCCTAGATATAGGCTGGTTCTTTGTATTGTTTTGTTTCACTACCATCGATCCACTCAATCGAGCCAAGACCACCTCATTTTGGCAAACTCAGACCGATGGATTTGGCGTGGACTCGAGCACGATTGCAGGATTCACATATGTCACAAACTGCGCTAACTGGGCAAACAAGATAGGTTCCAAAACAAACGTCTGGGCATGAAAGTGCGCAATTGACAAACAGTTGCAGCCAAATTAAACTTTAGTGACAAAGCAGCGCTGGCCCCGATCGGGCCAGTAACCATTCTGTATACTGTCCCAAGCATCTTGCATGCTAGCCCCTGGCCATTGGGCAGTCCTTATTGTTGAGCCCTGTTTGGTAAATCATCAGAGCTGTCATGCTTTTCTTCACACGGCTTCTACATTCAATTTTAAATCAATAATTGAGGCCAAATTATGACATAATTCAACACACTGCACTGTCTATTAAATTATGTATTAAACTTTCTGTCCCCGAATTACAATACAGTTCCTCACACTACACCAGGGGTCACCAAACTTGTTCCTGTAGTGCTGGTGTCCTGCAGATTTTAGGTCCAACCCTAATCAAACACACCTGAGCAATCTATTTAAGGTCTTAAGCTGCGGTCACACTAAAGTTTGTGTGTGCGAAATTCTGTTGTGCGACGCTGCGAAAAGGGGCGGGATTAAACGAAATTATTATTCATTAAAAAAGCGAGCGATTGCTCCATGTTTTAATTTTCTGTCCAGAGAGGTCGTGTTTTGATCCTCGATTGGTCTCACGCAGTCAAGTGATACGATTTTGCAGGTCAGAGTTCACCAAGCTTGAACTTTGCACCGCAGCGACCTGCGAAACTTAAAGCATGACCCTGCGTTTCCAGTCTGACGCATTCACGTGCGTATGAATGAAAGTCTATGGGGAGAAAACTCTAGTGTGACCGCAGCTTTACTAAGTATACTTGAAACATCCAGGCAGATGTGTTGGAGCTAAACCCTACAGGCACCAGCTCTCCAAGACCGAGATTGGTGACCTCTGCACTACACTGTCTGTTAGTTTATGTATTGAACTTGATGCGTTTTAGTTGTTTTACTTTTTGTCATTTGTCATTAATACATTTAAGTGAAGATGGGATTCACTAAATCATGGATAACTGGACCATGAAGTACACCAATAATATTATCATATCTTTAATTTTAAACAGTGCTATTATCCAACCTACTTTTGGTCACACGTTGTGCACAAAATAAATGGTCGTGGATAAAAGCATTCTGTTTGAGAATACCATGGTACTATTAGATGCTATAGATCAGGGGTCTCCAAACTGGGTCGTGGAGGGCCGGTGTCCTGCATATTTTAGTTCCAACCCCAATTAAGCACACCTGAACCAGCTAATCAAGCTCTTTCTAGGTATACTGGAAACTTCCAGGCAGGTGTGTTGAAGGATGTTAGAGCTAAACTATGCAAAACACCGACCCTCTAGGACCGAGTTTGGACACCCCTGCTATAGATGCTCCCATTGACACACCTGCACATTTAGTTTTTAAACTCAATTTTAAGTCTATATTTGTCCTCAAATTACTATATAATTCCACACACTACACTGTCTGTCAATTTATGTATTGAACTCTGTGTTTAGGTGTCATAAACACATTTAAGTGAAGATGGGATTCATAAAATCATGGATAACTGGACCATGAAGTACACCAATAATCATATCTTTAATTTTAAATAGTTCTATTATACAACCTACTTTTGGTCACACGTTGTGCACAAAATAAACGGCCGTGGATAAAAGTGTACTATTTGTGAATACCATGGTACTATTAGATGTTATAGATGATTTTTGTTGACTCTCCTGTACAGTTAGCTTCTACATTCAACTTGAAGTCAATAATTGTCCCCAAAGTACTATATAATTCCAAACACTGCACTGTCTGTCAATTTATGGATTGAAATTGATGTGTTTTAGTTGTTTTACTTTTTGTCGTTAATACATTTAAGAGAAGATTGATTCACAAAATCATGTATAACTGGACCATCAAGTACACCAATAACATGATCATATCTTCCAACCTACTTTTGATCACATGTTGTGCACAAAATAAACAGTAGTAGGAAAAGCACACTAAGCATTGTGTTTGTGAATACCATGGTACTATTAGATGCTTTCATTGACACGCCTGCACATTTAGTTTTCAAACTCAATTTTAAGTCTATAATTGTCCCCAAATTACTATATATAATTTCACACACTACACTCACTGTCTGTCAATTTATGGATTGAACTTAGTGTTTTGGTTGTCATAAAAACATTTAAGTGAAGATGGACTTCACAAAATCATGTATAACTGGACCATGAATGGCACAAATAACATTATCATATCTTTAATTTTAAATAGTACTATTATACAACCTACTTTTGGTCACAAATTGTGCACAAAATAAATGGTCGTGGATACTGTTTGTAAATACCATGGTACAAATACATGTTTTCATGGACATGCCTGCACAGTTAGCTTCTAAATTCAATTTTAAGTCAATAATTGTCATCAAATTACTATATAACTCCACACACTCCACTATGTCAATTTATGTATTGAACTTTGTGGTTTTTAGTCGTCATAAATACATTTAAGTGAAGATACACAAAATCATGGATAACTGGACTATGAATGGCACAAATAACATTATCATATCTTTCATTTTAAATATTAAATAGTACTATTATGTAACCTACTTTTGGTCACTGGTTGTGCACAAAATAAACAGTAGTGAAAAGCACACTGATGTATATAACATAGTGCTAGTAGCTAGGGTACAAACCCCAAAGCACGATTCCAAATCTCGCTCTGTCATATGGCTGACAGTACAGTGAAAAGTGACGGTTGAAACTGATATTAAACGCGCCAACTCAAAATTTCAAATGTAACTTATGGAGAGTAAAAGCATCACATATTTTAACGGTTTTTATTCTGCCGTTACGGCAGTTGGAGTGATGCGGCTAACGCTCGGCTAAAACAGTAAACAAACCACAATGAATAAAACTTCTGCAAGTTTCCAGACAGGTAGGACTGAAATACGACAAGAAATTGTGAATACATATGATTGAATATCCCTCTGCTACTTTTAAGGAGTATAACGTTGCGTTTGGATGATTAAACAAACTGCTAGCTAGCCCGTTTTTAGTCATCATATTCATGAACGCTCGATTGTACTACACTATATGGGAAGCGTTGGGGTCTGTCGCGTCGCGTTCGGCGTAGACGCGCTGTTAGCTTCGTTTAGCTCGTAGGCTACGCTACGCACCTCTGTTTACAAAGTTTCCTGCTTCTTCGTAGCTGCACAACCCAGAACAAGCGTCTCGACGGGCTCGACTCGCAGATGTCGCCGTCGCTGGAGCTGTTATTACCGCCGAGAGATTTTCAGCCACTTCCCCGCGTCCTCATCCCCGAGCACCATCCGAGCCGTCCTGCTTAAAAACAAAGAGCAATAACGCTCGGTTTTATTGCGCCCCGTGCATTGTCGTCCAGTTTCGCGTGAATCCTGCTCGGCCGCGGAGCCAGAGATCGCTTCATTCAAAGGTCCAGCGGCTTCCTAAGCGTCTTTCCTGCGTGCACAGGCGAGCGAGGGCTTGATGGCGGCTTTGCAATGGTGCTTTTAGTTTATCTTCGTTTCCAAGTTCCTATTTTTCCCTGGTATCCCGTGCCAAAAAAAATCATGGAGTTTTCGTCCGCGCCTGCGCAGTAGCTGCTGTCGGGGTTGGGAATTCCGTACAGCTCCACGTGCACTAGGAGGCGCGCGAGAGCCAGACAAAAACAGAAAAACACCCCGGACTATGGCAAGCCGCCTTCACATTTAATCTATAACCCGTATTAGCATCTATTTTCATGTTACTAGTGCTTATTTTTTTAAATACCAGTATCCTTTCCATTAAGTACTAGTACTTTTTTATTACATACTAGGGCTAATCATTAAATACTAGGGCTTATTCTTTAGATACTAGTGCTTACTCATTAGACACTAGTTATTTTTATAAGATACTACTCGTCCATTAGATACTAGTACCTATGTTTTAGATACTAATACTCATTCATGGCGAAACAGTGGCGCAGTAGGTAGTGCTGTCGCCTCACAGCAAGAAGGTCGCTGGTTCGATCCTCGGTTCAGTTGGTGTTTCTGTGTGGAGTTTGCATGTTCTCCCTGTGTTTGCGTGGGTTTTCTTCCGGGTGCTCTGGTTTCCCCCACATGTGAATTACAGGTGAATTGGGTAGGCTAAATTGTCCATCGTGTATGCGTGTTTGTGTGGAAGTTTTCCAGAGATGGGTTGCGGCTGGAAGGGCATCCGCTGCGTAAAAATGTGCTGGATAAGTTGGCGGTTCATTCCGCTGTGGCGACCCCGGATTAAAAAAAGGGAATAACCCGACAAGAAAATGAATGAATGAATACTCATTCATTAGATACCAGAATCTATTCAATAGGCGCTAGTACTTATTCATTAAATAACTGCTTTATTGTCATAACAAATGTTACAGAGGTATTGCCAAAACATTTATAAAGTTTACATTAAAGACAAAAGAACATACATGTATAATAAAAAACATTAAATAGTAGCTATAAAATATATACACATACAATAATAATTAAATAAAATTATAAATAATATATCATATTCAATATTTCATATTATTATTCAACATATATAATATTCAATATATCATATTCTTCGTATGTATCGAATTATTATTACATATCAATAAAAATAATAATACATCAGAATGAATGGTACATTTAACAATTAACATTTTAGGATAAAACCGTAAAAAAACAATAATAATCAGTATATTTACAATGAAGCATTTATAATAATATAGATGTACTTATTAAATACTAGTTCTTATTTGTTAGATACTCATACATATTTTAATAGTGACTAGTAACTATTCAGTTTTTTCTAGCAAAAAAAAAAAAACTATCTCATTCATTTCTATAGGATTTGTCATTGAGATAATAACTATTCATTTTTGACTAGTATATATTCCAGCTGGGACTTATACATATTTGATGTACTAGTTAATCATTAGATACTGGTACTTATCACTAGTTCCTAATTAATGATTGGATAGTACTTATTCATTAGATACTTATTAACTAGATACTGCTACCAATTTATTAGATACTAGTAACTATTAAATAAATACTAGTAGCTTTTCATTTGTAGTATTTATTAGACACTAGTGTCTTTTATAATTATCACTAGTAACAATTCTTATTTTACTAGTCAGTTCTGCTTTTTTACTCGTCCAATGTTATGACTAGAGACCAAATGGAAGAGTAGAGTTCAATTAAAGATTTTACTAGTAACATTTCAAACAAGCTATTTAATAAATGTGTACTAGTATCTTTAAAATAAGTTGTATCTATTTAATATGTAGTTCTAATGAATACATAGCATCTAATACATAAGTACTAGTATCTAGGTACTAGTATCTAATTAATACTAGATCTAATGATTAACTAGTACATAAAAATGTACTAGACCCAGCTGGAATACACACTATAAAACTGAGTTGAAATTTCAATGACAGATCTCATAGAAATCAATAGAAAAAATGTTTTATTTGTTACTAGAAACAACAGAATAGTTACTAGTCACTATTAAAATAAGTACTAGTAGGCCTTTCAAACAAATAAGAACTATCAATTTAATGAGTACTAGTATCTATTTAATAAGTATTAGTATCTAAAGAATGAGTATTAGTATCTAATAAAAAGAAGCATTTTCTAATGAGTAAGCACTAGTATTTTTTAAAAAGCACTAGTATCTAAATAAGCACTAGTACTTAATGGAAAAGTCACTAGTATCTAAAAAATAAGCACTAGTTACATGAAAATAGATATTAGTACGGGTTATAGATTAAATGTCTGACGGCTTGCCATACCTGGACGGGTGGATGGATCATGTGTGGTGGGATTCTTCTGAACTGTGCACGCTTTCAAACTTTGCCCTTATTAAAATAATCCGACTTTAAAGTCACCACACATGATTTTTTTTTTGTCATTAAAATTTGATGATTCTTGTAAAATATGGTGAACCTGATATTATTTTCAATTACTGTCTTGTTTTTCTTTGTTGTTTTACTTGACTGTGCAGCAACACCGCATTGCCTTAGCAATATGAATGTACCTTTATTTATTATGCCAATAAAACTGAAAAACTATACAGATATTATAGTTTATTATCTATTATTATATTATCTTTAAGTTATTTTACAATTTTTTAAACAGTCCGATATGCAGTCTAATATTGCAATCAGTTATATATTATTTATTATGTATGAATTATCATAATCACAAACACATTTGCAGCCCAGTTATATCGTTTCCCTTTTCTTTAAGCGACTAATGAACTCAAAGTTTTGCACATTATAAAAAACAGATCGCGCGCACACACACACACAAAGTTTGATATAAAGCATCAGCCACTCCACGTGTTTTATTGGATGTTTTTTTAATGCAAACAATAAGACAAAAAGTGCCCAAACCTCTCTGAATTCTTGATCAGCCTCAAACTACAGAAAATGTCAAATAAATGAAATCCGAGCGCTGAGGAAACTTTAGATGTCCGTGAACTTCATCTGGAAATGTGAAATACTTCACTGAAGTGAGGCGAGAATATCCTGAGAGAAAGATGTTTCTGCCGTAAAACGACTCCACACACACACACACACACACTCACACACACACACGTTTTCATTGGCCTTATTGTGTCAGTTAGCTGAGAAAACAAAAAATGGTTCCGCCGTAAGTACTTTATAATTACTGAGGGAAATCACAGGCGAAACCCGTTTAGCGCGGAGGAAAGCCGAAATCAGATTGCGAGCTGATGGTTGCAGGTATATGCACATATAGTAAAGTCGATTCTCCTGAGCAGAAATGTGATTCGCTGGCACAACATGAACATTTAGCTGCGAGTTTGACATATAAATCAGATCAGCCTCCTACAGCGCGTAAAGTTGGGAAAACAATTGAGAGTTACAACTTCAAAGGGATGTTGAGTAAACACAAGTTCTGGGAATAAAAGCGTAACCTGCCAATAGAATTAGACGCTCGGAGGTGATAACCATTAGGCAGTGGGGAGATACACAGCAACAGCCAGCCGATCGTGACGTGTTAGTGCGTCTCCACGCGAGCGCTGCCCTGCTCCTGGAAACAGTATTTGAGCTTTCTATTCGCTAACCTGACGCGCATCCCACTTGCGCTGTTGCTAGGCAATACATTGCACGCTTTGCACCATGCAAGTTTAACTACTTAACTCTTGTGTTTGGAAGAGTTTCAGAATACTAACGAGATGAGCCCCCGGTGACATCAGTTGGCCGAGAGTTACAGGTCACTCCACATCAAACAGCGTTTAAAGCCACTGCAAGTGGGATAGCTGTTAATCAAACACCACCACCACCTCATGGATCTGGAGGATGAGGGGAGGGTGGACACTGAGCAGTGCTTTTGTTGAATATCCTGCATCAGGTTGATCCTGCCAATGATCACCAACTAATTTGAAATGTTTGTAATATTATACTCACAAGAAATACAATATTATAATAAATAATGTAGTGTTTTAATCCATGCTGTTGTTGATGGTAACACAACAACTATAGTAATGTAAACAAACACACTACAATACACCAGTTTACTGTACTAACAAATAAAGTATACTACAGTATGTATTACAGCTGAACAGCATTTACTGTATATACAGCATTACTATAGTTTAGTTATAAAACACTATACAGTACTATGGTATTTATTTTTTATGTGGTATGAGAACACGATGAAGGGTGAAATCTGAGCAGAAGTTTTAAATAACCTTGGAAGCTGAACAGGGTAGTTATTCACAATGCCACCAGTCCAGTCTTAACTAGGTTATGTTTATACTGGTGCTGAAAACAAGTTTCAGGTCAGCTCATGTTTCATGTAGTCAAATGTTTTATGATATTAAACAGAGGCACCGTAATGTGTATGTAAAGTCAGTCCCAGGGTTTTATCTAAGTGTCAATACAAGGGAAATCTGAGTGGAGTTTTTGTCTTCTGATATATCTCGTATATATGTGTGTGTTTGTGTGTGTGTGTGTGTGTGTTTGTGTGTGTGTGTATACACTAAGACTAGTCTTAAGTAGATGTTATAAAATGATAACGAATACACTTTATGAAAATTACACCATCTTTGACCCATTGGAAACATGTTCAATTTTATATTTTGAAGACCAAATGTATTTGATATTTTTATCTTTACAAATATAGAGTTTATATTTTGAACACCAGTATATTCCAATAATATGTTAAAATAATTATGATATACTGAAATATCAACTCTTTGAGTGACCTAACTAGGCTATAGGGTCCATGTTGGGGAAAACACCCGAACACAGATTAAAACCTAATCTGCTGGAGACTAATCTCTGAACCAGATTCTGACCTTTACCATCTCAACGTCACTTTATGGGCTCATTTAATGACACTAAACGGCTGTGTTGAAGCATAACAGCGGTCATATAGTTTTGTTTTATAGACTGAGTGTGTGTGTGTGTGTGTGTGTGTGTGTGTGTTGAGCTCGGGCTCTTCCGCGTGGCTCGGGTGGGGTGGAGGATCCTCAAACTCCTATGGAAGATCCTGATTCCATAGGAAACATGAAAGAATCGCCTCAGGTCACCAGAGAGGGATTATTAAAGATGAAAAAAGTGTGAACAAATGTGTTGAATATCACACGGATATTACCGTCGCCTATTTCTACAGGCGCATATGCGAACGCCAGCAGAAATGGAGAGATTTTCCTACACCCTTATAAGGCGGTTCGTCAGTTTTCTTTTTTTCTCTTTAACGAAAGGTTGTTTAATAAAACATGCTCGGGCTCTGCTAGTCTTATCTCCGACTAGAAACCGGTTGCCAACGATTGCATCATTCCTTTCATGTGACTCCCTTACGCCCCAAATTCGTCCTGGCCGTCTTATGACTGCATCACATCTGCGGCTCAACCGAACCCGCGCAGAGCGAGACAACCAGCAGAGTCGCAGAGTCCCGCCCCCCGCGCTCAGCGCGGATGCTCATTGGATGTCTCTAAGCAGAAGAATGTCCACCGCCCAGCCTCATTGGACCAGGCGGCCGACCATCTCCTGTCAGTTCCTCGTGATTTGCGTTAGGTTGCGCCTCAAGATCCTTCCCCCGGAGTTCGGTTGGAGTCTCTCTATAAATGTCCCCGGGAGTTTCCGAAATCCACACTCGGTGACTTCAGCTGAACAATGGTTAACATGAGCGATCAGCCATCTCTACAAAAACACACACAGACCCTGAATCAGAAGCAGCCGAGGAAAAGAAACAATAAAAAGAAAAGGGTGAGTGTCATCTCTATTATTCTCTGCTCTTTACTGTGATCTTCTGGACTTTTCTTGCTGTTTTCCGTCAAGATGTTTTTCCTCTTCTGGAAAACGGGAGCGCGCATGTTTTGGCGACTCCTGAGCTGTTTTTGGACTACAGTTGCTCATCTCGAGTTTCACTGGACATGTTTTATTTCTATTTCATTATTAGTTTTATCCTATTCTTTTATAAACATTTACTCCATCAGTAACTCTTTCTTCAAAACTGCGCCGTGACAGCTGTCATAACTGTACAGTCTCGCTATTTCTGACGGACACGCGACAACTTTTTTTCCGCGAACGCCTTCATATGAACTCGTATCATTATTACTTCTTCCGATCGCCTCCCGCACTCCTGTCAGCGAAAACTGCGCGACATCAACTTTTCACAGATCGCGAAATCACGCCGACGTGGTCGCGACGCAGATCTCGTCGCGTTTTTAAATCGCTGAAGTACTTTTAAAGTGCGAGTTCGCGTCGAAGTGTCGCCCTTTGTTTCCTCAGTCCTGTACTTTGATTCCATGACGTCATTGGCTCGCTGTCAGTTTCGTAAACCCCGCTCCAGATGCGCACAATTAACAACAACACTCAATCCGGCTCCCAGACCGACACACGAGCTCCATTACACTGGAATGCGTCGATCCTCCTGTCGTTATTTAAACTACTCGATTCATTCACTGAGTAACTTTAAATCCAAAAGACAACAAACACAAGGCGTGACATTTCTTATTTATCATATTTTAATACATAATAAAACCATAATGTTTAGTTTATGATGATCTCTATAAATAAAAACAACAGTGGAGTGCCGCGGGTGTGTGTTGGCTCCGCTTTCATTGTCTCGCACTCACTTCTGAAGTCCTCTGTTAGCTGTGCAGTGTGTGTGTGTGTGTGTGTGTTGTGTCTGCGCTGTTCTTCCAGCTGATCTTGTGAATAAACCCGGCTGAGAGTGAGGCTGATCCGGCTTGTTTTGACGGACAGTTTGTGCGTGTGTGTGTTTGTGCGTGCACGCGCAGAGGGCGCCCTCGAGCACACAATGCGCCTTTGTTTACATAAAAAAACACAATGACCTAATTTCACTTTCCACATTAAAGAATCCATAACTGCTATGCGTTATTATTAACTTTACAATCATTTAAGCATTGCTGAATACACACTCGGGTTCCTTTATCTCTATGCTTTATACCACTTCATTGTTCTTTTTGCTGGCTTTCCTGTTTGTGTTTGTTTCACAGATGACCTAAACATGCATTTATGTTTCATATTCTTTTATTAAATACTTTTGGTAACCATGAACTGTGGCTTGAGCTCTTTCATTTTTTGTTTATTTTCTAGAGTTATTGGGACAAAATATCGCCAACAACTCACATTCAAACTTGATTGACAAGAGTCTCTTTATAAGGTGAGCACTTTACTTGATTCATTCAAACACAGTGATGTGAAAGGAGTTTAATAAGCAACACTAAACATGGTTAATAAAGTTAAGGGACACACAAAACTCCCAGTGTTCATGCATGCTTGTGAATCTCCAGGGCTTGTTTGTTTGTTTGTTTGTTTGTTGTTATGCAGTGACGATGTTCGGCCACTATGTGTCCTTATTTCACACAGTGGCCGAGCAGTCAATCTTAATGTCGTGTATAATAATAACGGGTCACCCAGATAAAGCGCGTACTCCCCAAACCTCTCTCAGCTGTACGCTGCGCTGCGCTCAAGACGCATCGGAGGTTTTTTTCTTGCCGCTTCTTCAGCACAGTTGATTGATTTGTGGTGTCGCCGGTCAGGTCTGGTGTGCTAGGAGTGGGAGCGTGTCGTATTGTGTCTGTGGATAGCGACTGATTGGTGCGATGACTGCGGAGTGGCTGTACCCCCCTGGCGTGGGGCCGCTGTGTGGTGCAGAGTTGGAGGCGTGGTATGAAGACCTACAGGATATACTGGGCTCCGACACGGGCGGGGCCAAACTTACAAGAGCCCCGCCTTCTTCAGAGGTCAGTAGCGTCTGGAATCGTTCAAAATACGTTTAACTTTCCCTACGTTTACTAACGATTTCTTTTGTCATGCAGAAGGAGCCTGAGTTTTTGGATGTTTTGGAGAGCTGTTCGCTCACCTGGTTGACCGAAGGGCAGGTATGGGGCGACGGGGTGCAACGGGTCACCGAAGATCCGCCCGTTCACCAATCGCCACCAAGGCAAGAAGAACGAACCACGGAGAACACCTCATCCGGAGATCTCCTTCCGCCGGAGTTTTTCGAACTCCTCAGCGAAGGTGGTGTTGGTGACACCATGGTAAACGGAGGCGCTGGGTATCACCTGCATGCACCTCCATCTCCAGCCGCCAGCGAAGAGGAGGAGCTCCCGACGGTTCCCGACACATCATCCTGCTCCTCAGCGTCCCGTTCGCCTTCTCTAAACTGCTCCCCGCCGGCATCTCCACCCGTCTCCTCCTCACGCAAAAGAAAACGAGGCGGCGCACTTTGCTCTGCATCCCCTGGGAAAAAGAGCCGCAGAGAGCGCGAACAGGAGAATGAAAGGAAAGTGCAGGAGCTGACGGATCAAAACGAGCGGCTGAAAGCCGAGATCGAGCGACTGGGCGAGGAGGTGCAGAGGACGCGGCGGGCGCTTATCGAAAGACTGGTCAACACCCGCAGGTGAATGAGCAACAGGAGGACATGTAGAGAAGAAGGGGACGCCAACAATCGGAGGAAATTCTTCTTGTGGAGAGCGTGAAATGCACATTTAGAGGGAGATAAAAGACACGTGGGATTGAGGGGGGAGAAAGGGAGGTTTAGTGAATGTCTCCCACCGAGAGAAAGAGAAAGTCAGATTAAGCCGTAGAAAAGAAAGAATGTGGAGCTCAACGGAAAACGCAGGCCGGTCAAAACTCAGCCCACCACGCATGCAGACTTCAAATTAAAATATGAAAATAATAAGAAGAGATTTAGTTCATGCTAAAATTAGTGTAGCTCAAAACTAATACTACTGTTTAAATGTTATAGCGAAATTCCAAATAAGGAATGTTTGCAACATCAAATGGCAATTAAACACAAACTTGATTTGTAACAAATAATTTAAATGATTAAAAAAAAAAAGATTTAAATTTAAAATAACTTTATCTTAATCAATAAATGGCATTGCAAAAAAAATGATGTTCAAACAGCAATAACATGAAGGGCAAATAAAATGCAAACTTGATTTTTAGCATGGAATTTTAAATACAAAATAACTACATTTATAAAAAATAAATAAAAGGTTGAAATGGGTGAAGCTTAAAACAAACACCACTGTTAATATGTTAAAAAAGGCATATGCAATGGAAACTTCAAATGCAAATAAAACGCAAACTTGATTTGTAACCTGGAATACAAAGGGTTTAAAAACAAAACATTTATTTAAAAATAACTTAAAAATAAAAATGAGTTCAAACAAAAAATAAAATAAATTGTTGAAATCAAGTACTATTTAAATGTTACAAAAGCATAAAAAAAAAAAAAGAATCAAAGGAACATCAAATCGGACATTGCGAAATGAAAATTCAGAATCGTCTAATTTGAATTAACGTAATATAAATGTTTGAACATTTAAATCGGCATAAGTTACACGCGAAATACTACCGCTTAAATGTTTCTATTTATCGAATGATATTCCAATTTTAAAAAAGTTATCGAATAAGTTGCATGACAGCAATTAAACTAAGCGCAATATTACAAATATTTTCCTTTTTTTCTAGTACGTTAAAAGACTGTTCATTTTATGTTTACATTTATTCATTATGCAGACGCTTTATCCAAAGCAGATAACTTAAAACACTTCAAAACGTCCAAAACTACATTGACCAAACTGTGTAAATTAGACTTAAAAAAAATTGTCTTTAATATAGAAATAATATAAATTACAAATAGTAATATTGTCAGTTATTAATCGAAGCCTAATATTAAATAGGGTTTAATATTTTTCTCAGCTAGTTCAAAAGGAAAAATTACAGCTTAACCATCAAAACAAAAACAAAAAAGATTTTAAATTTAGTATCAAACTATAAAAAAGTAACAATTTAATGATTTAACAAACTGCAAAATAAACATTAACACAATACATTTTTTTTAGCATAAAGACAATTAAGCGTAACTTTATAAAAATTTGTTGGTACAAAATGTTATGTATCGTTTTCAATATTTAAAAAAGCGGCGATTCAATATTTAGTATCAAATTACAAAAATGTTACGAGTTAAAGACGGAGATCTGAATTGTATTAATGACTATAGTATCGAACTACAGAAATGTTCTGAATTAAAAAATAAGATCTGCGTTATTGTAACATCTATAATGTCAAACTACAGAAATGATACGAATTAAAGACGGAGATCTGCATTATAGTAACTATAGTATCGAATTACAGAAGTGTTATAAAGACGGAGATCTGCATTATAGTAACAAATATACTATCGAACTACAGAAATGTTACGAATTAATGACTGAGATCTTCATTATGGCAACATTATTGTAGCTACTATAGATTGTGACTCACATTCCCAATGCAAGAAATAAATAAAGAAATCATCATGCAACTAAAAATATACATTTTTCTAAATTGAATGCAGGGTGTTTTGACCGGTTTGCACTTTCGTTTTTTTCCGTTTGAAGCACCGACTTTTATTAAACAACCCAAAGGTTAATCAACTTTTTGTGTAATTGAAAGCTGATTGTAAAGGGAATGTGTAGAAGCGGCAGAGCTGCAATAAAGGCTTGTAGAATGCTGATTGTATCTGTAATGATGATTGTAGGTGCTTGTGTTGAAGAAAGGGCTTCAGACGAGTGTTAATAGATTAATAATAGCTCAGGACTGTTACTGCAAATGATTGTGTGAGCCACGCATTTCTCTCTGCAGCTCACCATCAACCCGAGGCCTCTAACCGTGCGCGTGTGTGTGTCTGTGTGTGTGTGTGTGTGTGTGTGAGACGACGGCGATTCTGCTCTCACTTACTCCTCTTGAAACTTTTTTTAGAACTAGCGGTTTATATCATACTCTCTGCCTCATGCCTATTTTTCTATATACGTGTATCACATGCATATGAAATCATAATCATCAGCACTTGTAAACTCATTGATATTGCATGCTGAATTATGTACTAGCGTAGCAGAACATTTTTATCTAGCCTTACTTAATACACATTTTGTTATTAAAAATTTTTCCAAAAAAAAAAGAACCGAAAGGAGTCTTGGTGGTGTTTATTTCTCGTCTCTGTGTTTATTGAGTAAAATTAATTAGCATCAGAGTAACAAAGCAGAAATATGAAACTGGGTTTACATTGATTTGATTGCTTACTAAAAACGGATCATTTAAAAAGGACTGGTTGCATTTGTTTAATATATATGTAGGAGTGGATAAATAGTGCATTTTCCCCAGAAAATATTCCCAAAGATTTCTCTCCATCCTCATGTTCACCTTATTTCTTCTTGGTTTTTTGCGCGGGCGGCTCCGGGGTCTTGCCCTCCGCAAGACAAAGTTGGTTTTTCAGGTCCAATAATTTGGCCACTTCTACTCCGATGGCAGATTTTTCGGCTTTTTGTGCTTTCAGAGCTCGAACTTTTTCACCCTGAAACACAAAACGCACCGAATAATAACCACAAAACCGCTAAACACCTAGCATTCGCATATAGCGGGGAAAAATTAATGCAAAAATATCAATAACCAAATACTAACCTTAACGTACAAATGGTGGAAAACAGTGAAAAAAAACTATTTATATATATATATATATTTTAGCAGTTTTCTCACAAAACACACGATTAATAACCAATAAACCACTAAACACTTAGCATTCGCATATGGCGGGAAATAGATGAATACAAAAAATAAAGTATAACCAAATACTAGCTTTAACGTACAAATGGGGGAAAAACAGTAAAAAAAAAAAATCTTTATATTTTAGCATTTTTCTTACAAAACACACGATTAATAACCACTAAACATTCAGATATTAGCATTCGCGTACGGCGGGAAAAATTTTATGGAAAAAAACCCCAACAGCAATTGATAAGCATTTGCGTACAATGGAGAAAAATTTGTGAAAATAAAATCCTCTATATATAAATGTATATATCTGGACATTTTTGTTTTTATTTATTATCATTATTATTATCATCATTTTCATTGTAACTACTGTTAATTAACATCAACGGCAAATGTTTCGACAAAATGCAAGTATAGCATATATTGGAGGATGTTTATTGCATTTACATTTCTTTTTTTATATATATTGGTTATTGATCAAAATAAATAATATCAACATTTGTATTCGCAAACGTCGGGATAAAATATTTACCTCAACATTTAAATGTAAAATGAGTGAAAAAAGTGAGATTTCTGGACTTATTTTATGCGTCATTCGTATAATCATTTTCATTGCAACTCTACTGTTATCAAACATCAAAGACGAATGTTTTTACAAAATTAAAGTATACCATATGCTGGTGACTGTTTATTACATTTACTTTATCTTGCTAGTTAAAAAAAAAAGAATATCAATATTTGTATTCGCATGCGGCAGGTAAATAATATTTAATTTAGTCATTAAATAAAATTAGAGCAAAAAAACGTGATTTTCTAGACATTATTTTTTTATTATCATTTCCGTTGTGACTCTACATTTATTAAACCTTAATGACAAATGTATCGACAAGATATACCTCATGTTAGTGGGTGCTTATTGCAATTTATTAAAATTTTTTAAACCTTGCTAATTGCAAAAAAAAAAGGAAAATCCTAATCTTTATTTTCACGTTTGATTCTACAAAAAATACAACAAATCTTACGCAAGTCAGTCAAGTTAAACCCGATGCGTTTACAGGTCTAAAAATGGAAATTAAAGATATTTAATATAAATTTTAGAACTTAAAATGATAAATAAAACATTTATCTTTTTAAAAAACTATACAATATAATAAATATTTAATACATCAGAAAAACTATAAACTATAATAGACATCTAGTACATCGAAAAAATGAAATGCAGCTGCTAATCAGAGAAGCGCAGTGTGCAGATCACATATCTTGTGATGTTTTTTGTGATACTAATGCATTGTTTTCATCTTTTCATTTATTAATCGGACGTGTGTGTGTGTGTGTGTGTTCATACTTGTTCTGCCACTAAAGCTGTGAGTTGTTTGGCTCTCTCTGGATCTGCAGTCACACTGGCTGGTGTGTGTTGTGCAGCTCCAGCGTTGGGTTTGCTCTCGACTGCAACGCTGCTGTTACTCGGAGTCTAGGAACAGAAAAATACATCTCTCACTATTTCAAGCAACATACTGTGTGCAAGTTAAAAAACATGCAAATGATGCCAAAATAATACATGCATTTATCTGAAAACAGACAGCTTCATTATTTCTTTCATAGGATTTAAATCAATAAATTAGATGCATGTACAGTTTACATTATTAATATAATACACCACGAGTGTGCTTGACAATTTCATAGTTTATTAATGAATTTGTTTTAATGACACAAAATAGAGAAAGTGTGTTTGACAATTTAATATGCATCGAGTCATGCATGTTTTCTTAGATATGCATTAATAAAAATGACAAGTTCAATAATTAAACTCGCAGTCTAGGAACAGAAAAATCCAGAGTTCAATATTTCAGATAGTATATTAAGTGTCATTTTTTTTAGAGAAATAAGGCGAATAAAATAATCGACAAAAAACATGCATTCGTTACAAAACAGACGGCTTAATAAATGCACGATTCAAATAAATTGAACAAAAACAGATGCACATTTTAAACTTTGTTTTAGTGTATAAATTTGTTTTTATGATAGACAAATTAATAATTAACAAACTTATTCATGATTTGTTTTTTATATGCATTAATAAAAGGTCATATTTAATAGTTAAATTGAACTCTGAGTCTAGAAACCCATATTTCATATAGTTTATTACGTTCAATTGTTTAGAAAATAAATGCAAATAATGTCACAAAAACAGATGCACGTTTGAACACTGATAGCTTAATGACTTAAACTAGACAGTAGCACGTTTTTATTTTTGGTTTTGATCATACTGACACAAAATACAGGCCTGACTATTTCATAATAGTTATTGATTTATGCATTTTATTTTTAGATTTTGCATTTAAAAAAATTGACGTATGTAATATTTAAATGGGACGCTCGGTCTAGAAACAGAAATACACACATTTCAGTGTTTAAAACAGTGGATCTGATAGTATATATGTACATTTTTAGGAAAAAATTCATAAACCAAGAACAAAAAAAAATGTATGCATTCTTTTGCAATTTTTTTCTTATCTAACAAAAAAGATGCATTCATAAGACAACAGATCAAATTCAAAAAAAGATCTAAATCTGTATTAAAAATATATAATTCAAAATAATCCTGAATGAAATACAAACAGATGCACATTTTTATTTTTGTTTTCACTTATTCATATTTTGTGTTTTCATGCATTTGTCTTTTATATGCAATAATGAAAAATTAATCAAGAATAAAAATATAAAATCCAGAATAAATTGAACTTGGAGTCAGACAGAATCCATATTTCAGATTGCATATATTTTTGGGGGAAAATGCAAATAAGGCCACAAAAATACACACATCTCTGAAAACAGACGGCTTAATTAATAACTTTAGATATCAATTAATTCAATTATAAAAGGCGGCACGGTGGCGCAGTGGGTAGCACGATTGCCTCACAGCAAGAAGGTCGCTGGTTTGAATCCCAGCTAGGTCAGTTGGTGATTCTGTGTGGAGTTTGCATGTTCTCCCATGTTGGCGTGGGTTTCCCCCACAGTCCAAACACATGCGCTATAGGGGAATTGATCAACTAAATTGGCTGTAGTGTATAAATGTGTGTGTGTGTGTGTGTGTGTGTGTGTGTGTGTGTGTGTGTGTGAATGAGTGTGTATAAGTGTTTCCCAGTATTGGGTTGCAGCTGGAAGGCCATTCGCTGCATAAAACATAGTTGGCGGTTCATTCTACTGTGGCGACCCCTGATAAACAAAAAACTAAGCCGAAGGAAAATGAATGAGCTTGGAGTAAGAGAATAATCCAGATTGCATTTATTTTTCGGGGGGAAATGCAAATAGGGCCACAAAAACACACACATCTCTGAAAACAGATGAGTATTTGATGAATAACTTTAGAATATGAATTGATTAATCAATAAATTAGGCAGTAGCACGTGTTTATTTTGGTTTTGATATACCGACCCAAAATACCGACCTGATAATTTAATAATAATTACTGATTTATGCATCTGTTTCTTATATTTTACATGAATAAAAGTGACAAATGTAATGTTTAATTGGGACGCTCAGTCCAGGAACAGAAATATACACATTTCAGTGTTTCAAACAGCACATCTGATGTGTGCATTTTTAGGAAAACAACAAAGCAAAAACAAAACTGCTCCTCATGCATTCTTTTGAAAACAGACAGCTTCATAATTGTATGATATGATCTAATAATTAGCCAAATAAAACAGAAGCTCAGTTGTGTGTTAATTAATCAGTAGGAAACACAGAAGATGGCGCTTTTATTTGAATGAAGCTGACTGTTCATTCATTCATTCATGCTCCTCTTTTATATCTGCATTAATAAAAGTGACAAATTAATAATTCAATAATTAAATTATTAATAAAAACACACAGAAATGAGATTAGTAATGTAGTTGTTACACACACACACACACACACACACGAGCGCATGCATGAAATCAGGAGTGCACACAGTTGTATG